TTCCTAATGGCCAGGCTACCAGAGCCTGGGTAGCTATCGGTAAGTACCTTTCCAACCTCAGTAAATAATATATATACATTCCCTTCGCAAATTATTTTGAAAACGAAATATAGTCCATAACATAAATTCTTTATAAAATAACTGTTAACATTATTATTTGTAAAATGATTTAAACTAATTTAAATTGAACGTTAAATAACTCATTTCTAACTTGATGCCATAGATATAATGACTGTGCTTACATATTATTTCCCCATATATATATGCATAACTTTGAAATATCTTGCAAAATGATTAAATTTAAATGATGCGATATATAAATTACGTTTTAATTCGATATATTTAACCTTCGAAATCTAATGCAGCACTATTCTATGTACAGTCTGCTTTGAAAAGAAATGAATTCTTTTTGTTGTTTAAAATATTCTTGTTCTTTTGACATCATCTCTGATACAATGAATATGTGTTATACAGCTAGGTATCGATTTTGGTTTACAATGCATTTACTTTATCCATGTTCGGAACCGGTTAGTAATGAGTCTCGGATATGAACACTGCATTAAGTTGCTGGTCATCAAATAAAAATATGTCTTTACTCGATAAAAAAAACCTCGCAGAAAGCAATGCAGGTTACAAAAAAGCTTTACGTTGTTTTCATTCATTATTGTTGCATTAATTTTTAATTCGACAGGAAAGGCATATTCACCTTAGGACTTCTACTATTTACACTGTATAAAGATATAAAGGAACGTGGATATCTATAGTCTGCCTTTCTTTGACCAAATCGCAATGAGGTTTTTAAAATATTGAAAGTGTTCTTTGCATCCGATTTACATATCTTGTTTAAGTTATCTGTGCAAAATAATTCTTCTTTACATTATGAATTGTTTATTTAATTATTTTGGTTGAACTCAGAAAAAAAAAATTCCTGATTTATGAAGAGTCATTAGAGACCTTATACTTTAAATCCCGATTAAATTCAAGACAATATTAATCCGATAACCGGCTTAATAAATAATTAAAGTGGTTTAACAACATTGTATAAGGTCTGATTCTAAAGATTGCAGGAGACGATTAGCCACAGGAGCTATATTTGTGATTTCTGGGCCAGAAAAACAAAAGGTAGTGGCCCCAAAATAGAAATATTACTCTGGAAATCTGTAAAAAAAAAAAAATCCTCATGCAAACGGAGTAAACAAATTATCGTTAATAAATTCGAAAATACTGTTGAAACGAACTTAAGTGCGGAAACAACTCGAGCATTATTGTTATTTCTTCCGTCGTCAGTTTGCTACTCCATCGGAAGTCAAATAATGTATTTGAATTGTCCACAACTACCCTATACACTTTGTAAAATGATATTTTTTGATTCATTATCAAACTATTGATATTTTTGCAGAATCATGGCGACATTTCAACACCTCCCGCGAGAAAAGATGGCCAATCCAGGACACCGTAATCACGGATCACTTCCGCTTATCTCAGCACCAATAAAGGAGATACCTCAGAAAGAGGAAGCGGAAGACACCCAACGGCTGACCAAATTACCGTCCATCTACATCCCCTCTGTACCCGTCTCAAGGTCACCTAATCTAAAAATACAGCTAACAGACTTTATCGGCAGCCGTCCCAACAGTCTCAAAGGAGAGAGGAACCCCGAATCGGACCTGAAGGTAAACATCATAGCTCGTGACAAGGCTATCCAGCTTCTTCAACAGTATAACGAAATCGTCAGAGGCGACGACAACCTGGCAGTGAAAAATTTACCCCCGATCAAAGTCTCTATCCGCCCTAGTGGAGCTGACTTAGGTTTCAAAAAAGATAAAATGTCCAAAAAACTTCCCGTTTTCACAGAGGGCATAAGTTCTATCAGTAAGAAACAGGAACCCTCGTTCACAGTGCCAAAAGAAAGTGTTATCAGGGCAAATCTTCCGAGAAATGTTATTGTGGCACAGAAGAAAAACCAGTTTACTTTCGGGATAAAAAATAACAAGAAACATAGGAAAGACGACAAAGGTGAAAACGTGCAATTCAAACAGATGAGGAAACTCGGGCTGGATAACATGCCTTCAGTGGACATGGGAAGGTATCTGAACAAATCTCAAATGGTGCAAGAAAGTGTAAACCTACGAAGTGGAGTAAAAGGTGGATACTTCAAATCACCAAGAAAAAGCGAAGACCGGAGCGAGGCACCGAACCAAACCAATGCTCAAAAAGGAACAGAAAGAACTCGAATATTGTCAAAGAAAAATTATCCACAAGCAACTCCTCGATCAGAGAGTAAGTTGAGTGTTGTGTCCTTGGGAAATTCACTGGGACCGTCTTACTTTCTTTCAAATAGAAGAAACCTGAAAAATGAGTCTCCACATTATGATCCTCGCCTCCTACACGATTCTCAAAGAATGAAATATCAGCCTCGTGATCCGTCAGTTTTTGGTGTGTGTTCTTTAGCTCCAATCCATGTTGGTGGACCATATCAAAGGATCGGAACGCTCGACCCAGTCCTACCAGGGCCACAGAAGTCCAATAAATCTCTCAAAGGTCCGAAAAAGAAGTCCCAGAAGGGCAAAAGGAAAGACGCTTATAGCGATATCGGTCCCTGGCAAAATGACCTAATCATTCCAACCGAATTTCAGAACGAAAATGGTGAGCTCCTACAAGTTGCGAAAGAAGAACATGAATTCATTGACAATTCAGAGACAATGTCATATCAAAGGGAACTACTTTACCGTAAGAATATGACAAGTCCAACCGGAAGTGAATCAACGATGACGACACAGACCCATATGGTCAATCCACCACCGTCTTATGTCTCCAGTAATGACGATGAATACTACAGACAGTTTGACAATCCTAGGGCTATGCTGCAGATACAGGAGGAACGCTCAAACCTAACTCTAGATAACGTAGAAGCACACAACAGAGAAATGAATGAAATAAATTCAGTAGCGACGAGTAATAGTATGGTGAGGAGAAAGAAAGATGGACGCAGAAGTCGAGTAAAACCGGAGCCTAAAATCGTTAACCTGGAGATCGAAGGAGAGAAAAGTGGAAGGAATTCAGTTATTGAAGATGGTTTGTTCTTAACAATCCCTTCCATCAATCCTGATAAGGAGCGAAGACCGCCTCGAGCGGAAGTTGATCGAAGCCATGACGACTCTCAGGCCACGTGGTATAGCACGCGCTCTGAATATGACAATCCTAAACTTGCTGTGAAAAACATCCAGTTGTATAATGACCAAAACACTGTTCCAAATACAAATGTTGTCACGCCAGAAATCAACGTCACTTCCGACAACAGCGATACTGAGATCATATTGAAGGCCAGTCATGAAGGTTCAAGAGAAAATCTAGAGAGACTAAACACAGAGGAAGAGTTCAAAAAGTTCACTATGTCTAGCAAAACCATGCATTTTATTTCACCATTACAAGTTATTGACAACGCCAAAAGACACTAAACTACCGATTTAAGCCTTCGTTATTTATAAACTATTTTCAATGAGATGTCGTTTTGTGTCACTCGCTAGTCAAAATGTTTTTTAATGAAACAAACCTCCATTTCTCGCTATTTTCATATGTAAATTAATACGATTCATAGCAATTGAATTAAGTTATTTAACATCGAGTCCTTGTACACGTATAGTGTAATACGACACAGTCACAATCATATCAATTTTAAGATTTTCTCGTTTATTTTTTTATGTTCCTTGTGGAATGAGAATTTGTTATGAGAATTAGAATCTCGATCTTGAATACCACAAGAGACATGGTACACTAATGAGTTGTAAACATTACATTGCGACACTTTTTTAATGACATTTTTTACACAATGACTGATCAAAGACATTTATGAATATGTATGTTTGAGTACACGAATAATGTTGTAAATATGTTAAAGTACATATTTGTTGAATTGTCCGTTTACAACCAAAGTGCTTATGATTCAAACCCAAGACAGTGAAGATGAAGGTACTAGTAAAATGCAAAACGAAAACACACACCCCACCAAAAAAAAAAATGATTTATATGAACGGTGGGCTGGTAATAAATATAAATTAATAGTAAATATAAAAGTTTTCCTGTCAAAATTAACAAAAGAACTATGTATTGACCGATTTTAGATCATTTGATAGATGACTTCAATCACGAGAACATATTAACGTTTGGGATTTGTACAACACGGACCTAATTTTTTTGGTTTTTTTTTTTATTTTCCTTTTGCATTGTACGAGTACCTTTTGAACACTGACCTTATGTTGTTCACTACTTGTTATGTTCATTACGATTAAAACTAATGGAAACCTTAATATGTTCACAACATTTATATGAACATTTAAAAATAAAGGTTAAGTTTCGGAGAATTTCATTGAAATCAAGGTAGTTTTATTAGCACACAATTTTCAGAAGTAGCTAGCTCAACTGATTTTTCTAGATTTTTTTATTTATTAACTTGAGTCCAGTCCGTTTTCCTATATCTTTCCCCCAAAATTCCTTTATACATGTATTTAAAATACTTTTGAATTAAAAAAAATGATTTTGATTTTGAGGTCAGAAAGGTAAATAAAATATGTGGAGATGACAAACAGTATTCAGACTCAAAGGTCCATTCAACAATTCAAAATTAGAGCAGAGCGTACACAGACCTCTAAAACATCAGAGGTAGGACCAGGTGCCAGTCTAAGAAATTCAGATGATGATAAAATGGTTTCCACTGGTAACTTTATTTTTCTTCACACAAATTCTTGACTGATTTATGACACTGCTGACCGTCCCTTGTCTTCACCTTTTACAAAGATAGGTCAATGCTTGACAACTTTTCTATGAATTAGATTAAGAATTAGATATCTAGAGCTAAAATTATCATTTATTCCTTTTTTGTAACAGTTTATATTAAGCAATCTGTTAGAAATGTGACAAATTCTTCCAGTACCAGCAAAATAGCTTCTCAAGGCATAAATCAATAGAAAAGAAACCCCTTAATAGATAAATCAAACAATATATATAAATTATAAATTTATATTGTAGAAAAAAATGATTTTTACAGAATAAGATCTTAAAAGGTAAGAAAAGGCAGTACATGTACTTCTAAACAGCTGTTTTCTCCATTTGTTTGTCAATTTCTGCAATGTTGAGGTTCATCATGTCAACTGCCATCTACAAATAATTATGAAATGGTATTTACCACATTAGTCTCTCTCAGGCGAAAATACGCAATAACCAAAAAAGAAACACTATTAATGTTATTATGGAGGGACACATGCATTACAGCTTTGTTTTATAAAGTATACCAAATATAGTTCTCCTCCCTATATTTAAACAGCTTTGTCAGTAACATAACTACCAACGTAAAAAGTTAAGAGTAAATTTGCCTTATGTGCATGATATTCTAAACTAAAAAAATGTATTATTTTACAAAACACTTCAATTTCTTTTATCTATACAATAACGAAGGATGAGTATAATTTTTCTCAAATTTTACAGGAAACACTTTTACAATTCATACTAGGATTACAGCTCAACAAACTTTTTAAGCTCACATGGTTTTTCGCACAAATTAAGGTCACTTTGTTATAATGTAATATTGTGTGATAAGACATCAAAATACATTTTAAAAGTATTTGTTTACATTATTTGAGTTTTATTTCATTTACTGAAACAGAATTCATACAAATCAATTGCTAGAACTTTAATATATTCTTCTGAAAAATAATTATTTCCATTTGATTTTTTGTATAATGTCAAAGTTGTCTTTTTATGGTTCTTTTGAAAGGATTGCAGAAACATAGACACGGGCACAGTACACTACTGTAACTTGTATTTTCTGTAAATTATGACTCTTTAGCGCAGGGTGATAATAGTATTTTTCATCTGTTTGACTGCTTTGTATGTTAATAAGGTTTAGTCACCTTTAAAAATCTAGAATCATGTAAGATTCATCCCACAGCAAAATTTTAACGTTTCAAACCGTAAATGCAGAAGAATTTTCCTTTTCATAGAGAAAAATTACTATTAAAGAAAAATTAAAAAATACTTTATTATCCAACCCTGTAGTATGGTTTCTCTCTGCAATGTTATCCCTTTTCGGCGCTAGATTTCGATAATACCCAGATGAGTATGGTAAATGAGCAAAGAATTTCTAAAAATACTCACCTTTAAGAAGAAAATTTAAAATTTTCAACTACATTGTATCAAAGAAAGCACGTTTTATATTATTTGTAAAAAAAACTTACCAATACCGATGAAACACCGTACCATTTATTGATTAATCTAAAACTCCACGAAACTTTAAAAGATAATACTTTTAAAGGACATTTAAAATGCACATTATATATGTAATATAACAATGTCATCATTCTGAAGTTCGGTAATTTTTATTACAAAAATGTGACCTTAATTTGTGCAAAAGACCATGTGAGCTTAAAAAGTTTGTTGAGCTGTATATTTATAATGAAAGATCGTTGTTTGAAGGATTAACAATAAAAACGATGTTGGTCCAAAATAGCACGTTTTAAAGCTTTGTCACGATTTTGATATTCTACGTGCCAGGAAAACGTCGGAACCGGCGCCATTATGAAAACTGGAAATTTCGCCGTCTCCAACCAGAACTTATTTTCGATACTTATGAACTGAATTAAATATTAAATTTACAATTTATCAATTATGGCACAACGCCTCTAGTACTCACCAATATCGATGAAAAGAAAATATCACTCCACATTTCGATACAGACCTTGAAAGATTTTAAAATGCACAAAATGACAACAAAACTCGACGGTATGATAAAATATTTCCACCGGACTGTATATTTTATAAACTAACAATAAAAACGATGTTGGTGAGCACTAAAGGCGTTGAACCATTGATAAGCCGGTTCTGACGTTTTACCGTTTTCCTAGCATGTAAAATATCAAAATCGTGGCCTGGAAAAATTCAAGATATATCGGACTAAAAGAATTTTAGATGTTCAAAGCATCAAGGTAGGGACATCATAAAAATTAGGTGTTCACAGGATGGAAATGGACATAAACTATTTTAAAAAAGAAAGTGGGAGTTCAAAGGATTAATGTCTAGGGATCAAATTGGGGATACTATTTAAAAGGAAAAGAAAGAGGGTGTTTAAAATAACAGGGTAAAGTTGGTGTTCAAAGGATCACAGTGGGGATACGATGAAAATAAGAGTTGATAATCAAAGGATAAAAGTGAGCATAACAATAAAAGGAGGAGTGAGTGTTCAAAGAATCCAAATCGAAATATCATTAAATGAAAGAGTTAAGCGTTTATAGGATCAAAGTGAGAAAGGATACAAATTAAAATGTCATCAAGGGAAAGGGTGGATATTTAAAAGATCAAACTGTGCATACCACTAAGAAGGAGGAGTGGGCGTTCAAAGGATCCAGGGCCCATTTTACAAAGGAACTTATGACTAAGACCAAAATTTAATTCTGCCTGTAACTTTCTATATTGCATTAATTTGAAAACGTTTTTTTTATAAAGCATTTAGAATGATATTTTAATGGTAACAATTTCAAAAAGAATAATTAATTTTGCAAAATTTTATAATCAACATAGGTTTTTGGTCTTAGTCAAAATTTCTTTTGTAAAATTGGCCCCTGAATTGATTCAAATGAAAGAGTGGATATTAAAAGGATCAAAGTGTGCATACCATTAAAAAGGAGGAGTGGGTGTTTAAGGGATCCAAACTGGAATATAATCAAAAGAAAGAGTTGAGTTGGTTTTCAAAGGATCTAAGAGGTTACATGATTAAAAAGGAGGAATGGGTGTTCAAAGGATCAAAGAGAGTTATTACACAAAGGACCAAAAAAAGGAGATATAAAAGGATGAGCCGGTGATTAAGGATAAAAGTGGGGATGTAATATGGATTAACAAACAGTTATTAACCTCAAAAAGTCCACTGAATTATTATACTTATTGGGTGCAGAGCAAACACAAATCTCTGAAAATGTCAGAGGTGGAGCAGGTGCCATAGAGGAGAAAGCATCCCCTGTCCTTTGTTTTGTCAACTTCTTTATCAAAAGCATTCCTTGTTTTATAAATTCTTCTTACACAGAGCATGATGCTCTTGTGCATATTGATTCAACTATGAGACAAACATCATGCTTAGGGTATATTGTCTCATGGGCAAAGGTGGTGTTCAAAGGATCAAAATGGGAGAAACTATGATAATCAAGGATGGTCACCTTCTGAGTCCAACACGGGGATGACATAATAGTTACCTATAATCAGGTGGATACAGCACACCCAAATTTTCATGTATACATGTATATAATTTTAGAAAACCTTGACACACTAAGGAATACCTTTCATTTGCAGAGATCATGTGCCTCACCGTAAACTGCTCCTGTATCAAGCTAATTTCTAGCTTGTAAAATATTTAATTAAAGAAAAAAAGGCTTAGAAGACAGGAGTCTTGTTCATCTTAATAACATCTATCCTGCCTAGGCTTCAGGGTAATGGTGTTTTATATTTAGTTAAATTATATTACAGACTTCTTTGATGTCTGAAGTAATATAAAGCTAGGTTACTTTAATGGTACAATGTTAAGCAATCAAGTCTGTGGTGTTGGTCTGTGAGCATCTTAAATTGATTCCTAGATATTTTACCTGTGTCAGATGGAAGTCCTCATACAGTAATTTCTCCACAATTCCAAAATGATCAACTCCAGGACTGAGCACACAGTCTACACTGACACCAGCTTCTGAAAGGGCCTGTACACAGAAATATAAGACATTGTATCATCAAGTTAATTCTTAAATAACAATAACTAATACTGATTGCATAAATTTAATGGAAAATAACCCTTCATCGATAAATATATAAGGAAAAGTTACGATTCATAAAAATTCAAGTTAGAAGGATAAATCAAATTGAATATACTAAAAAAATTTATGGATTAATAATTAATACTAGTCTATTTCAAATGTTCTAATGTTATGGAGAAAACAATCATAGGCATTTATGCCTTCTGTTCAATCCAATTCACTAAATATATATTTTGAACTAAATATTCTAATACCTGGAATGCTTGTTGTGTTTGTCTGTGGAATTCCTTTGGGTCATGTTCTGCCACTGCTAGGACTATTTTCCTGTTTTTGCTATGTCTAATGATCTCCCCCATCACCTTCATAGGACTGTTCTCCCAGGCAGAAGTCCTTTAACGAGCATTAATTAGAGCAATTACATTTAGTAGCCTTCTGAGCACATTAATTATACATACAGCAAATATATTTGATGTAACAGTGTATTGATATATAATGCTACTGTGTACCACTTTTGTTTTTGTGTAAGCTCTATTATAGAAATTAAGGATTTTAGTTTTATCTCACCTCGCTGTCAGAAACCCATGGTCAGTCTGGCTTCTGAGATCCGAGACCGACCATGGGTTTCTGACCATGGCTCACCTGAGTTAAAGGCTTCTCTAACTGACATATGTTCATTGTCTATTCTTGTCATCTTAATCAAAACTTTTCACATTTTAAAATTACATTAAATTATTTTATTAAATGTTTGAATTATTCCTATCTCTCTGATTGGTTGACAACAATGTAAAAATAAAATTGCGCTAAAGGAACAAATTTTTAAAGGTATAACAAATTATTTTGTTTTATAAATTCAAAACTACTTTTGCATATAATCTGTTCCTGTGCAAAGAATTTACAATGAGATGAATCTATACATTTACAGATAAAATAAGCAAATAAATAATGATTCACTTCTTTTTCAAGATCAATAAATAGAAAGAAATAATTGTAAGAATCTTCAATGGTTTCTGATCTCAATGTACTGTATCCAGTTGCTCAACTAAGAATACACAGTAATATGCGGCAATATAATGCCTGACGGTACATGGCCCATCGTCATGTTTTAATTCAACATTTAATATTAACTTTAATTTGAGAATTACTAAATCTTATCAAATATAAATCTATGGAGGATATAAATAATTGCTTTATATAGATTGACAAAACAAATATTGATTATGTCAATGAGTAGCTGTATGTAAAAGGAGAGTATACATACTCAGTCATCTTCAGGGGGTCATTAATGGGGGAGGGTATCAGAGGTCGTAGGTCAAATACTCCACTGATAATTATAGCACCTGTTCAATTAAAAAAAGATCAGAAAACGGAAATGTAAATGACTATTGGCAATTATATACTAGTAATAAATTGAGAAGTGAAAGCTGCACACATATGGAACTTTTCCTAATTTACATATAGAAAATATTCTTTCAAACTGTAGTACTATACCACATGTATACTATTTTACACATCATCAACAATGCAAAATTTCATCCCACATCCTGACATCACAATTAACATGTATGAATAATGTGATATAACCATTATGGTGTCATGGCAACCAATCAAATAAAAGAGAGAACCAAAGTGGGAGTGATAAAACTTGTTGCAGTAAGGAAAGAAACTTTGTTACTTCTCAGTTAAAATATTTCCTTTAGGTATCTATTTTCTAAATTCTTAAGGTTTTCAAAAGAAATACTGATATCTGAATCATCAAATTATTCATCTCTTTCATTTTATTATCACAAGTATCCATGTCACACCTTTGATGAGTGAGTCAGATGCCATACATTCTGACATCCAGTCAACAGAGAGCATCATGGCCGCCAGCTGACCGCCTGCTGAGTGACCACAGAGATAAACACCCCTACAATATAGTCAGACCACACAGATAAACACCCCTACAATATAGTCAGACCACACAGATACACACCCCTACAATATAGTCAGACCACACAGATACACACCCCTACAATATAGTCAGACCACACAGATAAACACCCCTACAATATAGTCAGACCACACAGATAAACACCCCTACAATATAGTCAGACCACACAGATAAACACCCCTACAATATAGTCAGACCTACAATATAGCCAGACCACACAGGTAAACACCCCTACAATATAGTCAGACTACACAGATAAACACCCCTATAATATAGTCAGACCACACAGATAAACACCCCTATAATATAGTCAGACCACACAAACACCCCTACAATATAGTCAGACTACACAGATAAACACCCCTACAATATAGTCAGACCACACAGATAAACACCCCTACAATATAGCCAGACCACACAGGTAAACACCCCTACAATATAGTCAGACCACACAGATAAACACCCCTACAATATAGTCAGACCACACAGATACACACCTCTACAATATAGTCAGACCACAGAGATAAACACCCCTACAATATAGTCAGACCACACAGATAAACACCCCTACAATATAGTCAAACTACACAGATAAACACCCCTACAATATAGTCACACCATACAGATACACACCCCTACAATATAGTCAGACCACACTGATAAACACCCCTACAATATAGTCACACCACAGAGATAAACACCCCTACAATATAGTCAGACAACACAGATAAACATCCCTAGAATATAGTCAGACCACACAAACACTCCTACAATATAGTCAGAACACACAGATAAACACCCCTACAATATAGTCAGACCACACTGATAAACACCCCTACAATATAATCAGACCACACAAACACTCCTACAATATAGTCAGAACACACAGATAAACACCCCTACAATATAGTCAGACCACACAAACACCCCTACAATATAGTCAGACTACACAAACACTCCTACAATATAGTCAGAACACACAGATAAACACCCCTACAATATAGTCAGACCACACAAACACCCCTACAATATAGTTAGACCACACAAAAACCCCTACAATATAGTCAGACCACACAGATAAACACCCCTACAATATAGTCAGACTACACAAACACTCCTACAATATAGTCAGACTACACAGATAAACACCCCTACAATATAGTCAGACCATACAGGTAAACACCCCTACAATATAGTTAGACCACACAAACACCCCTACAATATAGTCAGACCATACAAACACCCCTACAATATAGTCAGACCATACAAACACCCCTACAATATAGTCAGACCACACAGATAAACACCCCTACAATATAGTCACACCACAGAGATAAACACCCCTACAATATAGTCAGACCACACAGATAAACACCCCTACAATATAGTCAGACAACACAGATAAACACCCCTACAATATAGTCAGAACACACAGATAAACACCCCTACAATATAGTCAGACCACACAGATAAACACCCCTACAATATAGTCAGACCACACAGATAAACACCCCTACAATATAGTCAGACTACACAGATAAACACCCCTACAATATAGTCACACAGATAAACACCCCTACAATATAGTCAGACCACACAGATAAACACCCCTACAATATAGTCAGACCATACAAACACCCCTACAATATAGTCAGACCACACAGATAAACACCCCTACAATATAGTCAGACCACACAAACACCCCTACAATATAGTCAGAACACACAGATAAACACCCCTACAATATAGTCAGACCACACAAACACCCCTACAATATAGTCAGACTACACAGATAAACACCCCTACAATATAGTCACACCACACAAACACCCCTATAATATAGTCAGACTACACAGATAAACACCCCTACAATATAGTCAGACCACACAAACACTCCTAAAATATAGTCAGACCACACAGATAAACACCCCTACAATATAGTCAGACCATACAGATAAACACCCCTACAATATAGTCAGACTACACAAACACCCCTATAAAATACTCAGATTATACAGATAAACACCCCTACAATATAGTCAGAACACACAGATAAACACCCCTACAATATAGTCAGACCACACAAACACCCCTACAATATAGTCAGACTACACAGATAAACACCCCTACAATATAGTCAGAGTGTGTTAATAAGAACTTCAAAAATATAAATAAATCAAGAAAATCGCAACATCTTGATATATATGATAACATAATTTAAGACATGCCTAAAATAAAAAAAAATGTGTTGCAAGACTTCATGAATATACAAGCCATGTTATCTTTAATTGGCCATGTGTATTACCAGGTAGTTAGTATTATGAGTACTACCAACCTTGACTGTCGATGCTTGGCCATGTTTAGAATATACTTCATTCCCTGCTGTACCTCCGAGACAATTGTTTCTATATTTGCTGATTGAAGAAAAATCAAATTTTGTACCAGTTAAAAAGATTTATAATGACATGTATTTAGTTTAACACACTGCAGAAATCATAATAACTTAATAAGTTCAATAATTTTGATGTATAAAGTCAAATTCTGCTTGTACCTTTCGGTGCCAAAGTGTATTCCATTAAGATTGTCACAGCTCCAGCTTTAGTCAGGGGTCTGGCCACATAACTATAGTCATCTTTACTGGCAGTGGTAAGAATTATTCTTCTTAGTCAATGTACAATAAGCATACACAGTAAACACATTTACATAATATGCAATATGATATTGAAATTACACTTAAAATCGAAGTTAAAATTTGTAACCAGTTTTAAATTGTAATAGGACTTATAGTTATAACAATTTATGGATACATATCAATCCATGACCTAAAATACTAAACATGAAAACATGGGAATATAGTTCATACACACAGTGGATATTTACAGTGAATAGGCTCTTAAAAGTAAAATAATACTATACTGAATATGATGTTACAGTAATTCACTTGGGAAACTATGTACATTGTATAACCTTTAGAGTATTGCTGAATTCACAGCTTCTAAATATCAACCATAATCAAATACCAAGGCATGTAAAAATTGATGATTCTATGACTAAGGGCTTGTAAATTTTGAAGTTTAGCTAGAGCTTAGTAATCTAATATAGAAAATCTTCAATATTGACCAGTTTTGATCAAGAACATTGGATTTTCATGGCCCAATTGAGCACAGAAAATGTTAAATCCTAAAATGAAAATAAAATCTTTGGTAGAAGCTGAAAACTGACCTCATAGCCTGCCAGTATCCACCATGAATAAAAACAAATATGGGGGCCTCTGAAATCATTAAAAAGTACATCAGACAAAATCTGACAAAACTAGTCTTTTCATAACATATAAACTTCATATACTCACTGTATGAAAACTGTAAGACTGTAATAAATATCCAAACTATTTCGAGGTAAATGAATTTAGCATCTAGAAATTAGTCAGAAACATGTCTCTGGAAGTCAATACAGAAATATCTCCTAACACCTTATAAAAAATTCACATTTATTTGATACTATGTACCTGCAGGTAATGTATTAGCACTAAATATGTCCATCTTTTGTCCATCCGCCAGTCCGTATGAGATATTCAACTCACATTCAATGTCTTCACGAACCTTTTTACTTTCTATACAAAATGCAAGAAATAAACATGTTTGCATTAGTTGAAAAGATTCAAGTTAGACATTGTCATTTTTGCCCCACCTTAAAACAACTCTGTACCTTCTGCTGTCCACTGAACATGGTGAGTAATGACTTCCTCTGGACTTCCCTGCTTGCACCAGCGGGAGGGACTATACTGGTAGTCCAATTCCTGGGAATCAAAACCAAACAGAGCAGATAGTTAATTGTCAAACAACTAATATTATACACAGGCCCTGATAGACCTAGGTAATATCATGCTCTGTAATATACCTGTGACATTTTTTAACAAGAGGTCAATGCAACACAATACTCACCCAAGTCGTCTTATCTTGTATGTTTTAAAAAGTAAATAAATCATAACTCTTCTATCAATGCATATTAAGAACGTTCTCAAAGATTCTTTATTTAAATTAATATATTCCTGTGTGAAACTTTAATCCTACTGGTGGTATTGATTTGAACTTGTTGAAATTTGTACTACCTAAAAATTTGCATAATGTCATATTTATTCATTCAATTCTCTGTTCCATTCTTACGATGATTGAACAAACTGGAATCTGCAAAAACATGCGGATGCTTGCAAATTTTAAACATTCACTAATCATACAGCCATTTTGTTTTTGAGATGATTTTATGAAAGAAGAACCATAATATGCACTTTCTGAAGATGTCTGCATATTAAAGAGACTAATCAAAACCAGCAGCAATTCTTTAGATTTTTTAAATGCTACCAAATATTTCTACCGTTTTTCAATTATCTCCCCTAGAATAGGACCATGGATTTTCATGTGGTGTCTGGGTATATAGTGCAGTGGAATCTTTCGTACTGCTGCAATAATTATATGCATGACTGTGATTGGCAGTGGTTGTTTGTGAGAGGGTAAGGGGGTCATCCACTCGGACACAAGCATGGGATTTCTCTGGGTATTACAGATTCCTCCCACAGAAGTGACCCCCCAAACATCCTTGCATTAGGGTCCTTATAAGCTTTGAGCTTTCATGGGCTATCCTGGTATCTGGGAAATGTAGTGAACATTCATTCATTTATTCTCTTAAAAACCATATGTATGGTACAAGAGGTTCATATATACATATTTACAATAATTATGGACGAGGAGAAATTACAGGACAGACGGTGTCAAAAATTTTGGTGATAAGTATACACAATTTTCGTAAGAACATGTACATTAATTGTATGTATATATTGGTATTGAATAAACATTCATTTAAACAAACATTGAATCTCCTTTTGCATGACTAAAGGGATATGCTTTCTTTAAAGTTTGTTTGAACTCAGTGGTACTGCTAAATTTAAGTAAATTGAAAATCAGATGACATATGACATTCTGACCCAAGGTATTCTTTGATCAGAAAATCTCACTTGATCTTTTAGATAATGTGAGTTAATTTTTTTTAAAGTGCTGAACATGCAGGCAAGATTCAATTAAATGTACATGCATGTGTATGTTAATTTGTTGCATTCATCGATGTCAATAAACAGAGAAATATTGACATACATACATCTATTCTGAAATAATATACCTCTCTGCTCCATTTTCTCCACAAATGTTTGTCATAATTTTGGTCCTCCATGACATACACAGAACAGCTGTAGGTTAGGAGGTCACATGATTTTCACATGTTTCAGGCTCATAAACAGTATGTGTACTGTCTGCTCATTTCTGTGGTTAAACCAGGCAAACAGGAAGGATTCTTTTTTATGTTTCTACAATTAATGTACAGTACTGTAGATTTTAAACAGAGATTTCAACAACAATTATATATTTTTAATGTTTTCTCCCTGAACACCTTAAAAAGTATAAATCACCACGAGCCATGCAATGTTTAGAGTAAAGTGAAAGTGAAACCAGTCGGCACCAGCTTTGTTTTGAGGAGAACCAGTCAACAATGGCGTCAAAATTAAATCCTCCGTCTGACTTCGCTCCAGGGGGAAAGAAGAAAGGTACGTTTAACTTGGTGCAATGTTATCTTTATTACAGAAAGAAGAACAGAAAAATTAACTAGGCCCAGTATAAGCTGAAATGATATTGATTTACAATCAAGACTTGGGATTTTGGAAATAATCTTTCGTACTTTTGTCATGATCAAACATGTTGTTTTGACCCGAATTTCCTTACTTTGTTTACTATATCAACGCGCAAATTGACATTTTATTCTTCTGTCGATTAAAAAAAAACTATGTTGCTACATATTTTTATGTCCTTATGGTAATGGCGTTGCCAAAATGTAGGTTTATTTAAAACGTTCCCTATTTTGGGGATTGGTTCTTGCAAGGACCTGTGTATTACAGGTCCAGTACAATCTCAGATATATGGGTCCCTGGTTCTTGGCACCCTAGTTGTGTAGCTTTAAGAATCAAGTTGTAATATTCAGATTCGGTTTTAACATGAAGGGGTTTTATGTAACAGTTGTCGTGTTTTCATTTCTGACAGAGACATGTCTCTGGTTTCTGATCACACTTCATGTGGCTTACCACCATATTTTACCTTGAAAAGGGCAAATAACTCTTTTTATAACAATTTATAGCATATCGAACCCGAACCGGTATTCACAAAAAAAATACCACGATAAGTATTGTGAAGAACGAAATCGGGATACACCGGTTAACCGGTAATATCGCACAGCACTAGTCTTTGTAACAATGCTAAATATTCATTTTGCAAACCTGTGTTTAAAAACATCTATTCTGATAAAATTTGTTATAGATCTGGAAAAATTTCATTTCTAAAAGATATTACAGGCCTCTTAGTAACCTCTAAAATCAAGACACCAACATGCTCCCAATCAAAAAAAAATATTTGCCAGTGCACTTTTTCAGTTGTCTGGCAAATTTTTCTTAGATATGTTAATTTAGATAAGTCCTAGGAAAGGGGGTTGGGGTGTGTGTGTGTGTGTGTGTGTGTGTGTGGGGTGGGTGGGTTGATGTCTATTGCAATTATAAATCGACAAGCCTGCATTCTGGATCAATTGGATGGAAATTGCTTCTATTAAACTCTGTCAGGATTCAGAGAGAGAGAGAGAGAGAGAGAGAGAGAGAGAGAGAGAGAGAGAGAGAGAGAGAGAGAGAGAGAGAGAGAATATCAAATTCTCATTGTAAGACTCAGTGATTGCTACAATATATAGTAATATGTTACATGATTTGGGTTACAGAGGTATACACAGACACAGATAAGGTAGATTTACTGCCACCATCAGCTTTTGAGACACACACTGTGGATGCAGCTTGGAAGGAGCTCGCTCGAGCTACAAATGAAGTCATGCAGCTTAAGCTTGAAAACCAGAAACTGAGGTAAAAGTCTAACTGATAATCAGTGATACTGTATAAAGCTAAGGTAAAACTCTCAAAGATAATATTGAATAAAACTAATACTGTAGATTCCTTATTTTTCGCGAGTACTTTTTTATTGCGAACTGGGTCTTAAACTCAAATCGCGGGAATTATACTTGGCGAATGGATGGTTGATCAACAGAATTTACATAGATTTCAACACCATAAAAATAAAAGCGAGTAATTTTTTTTTGCGAGTGACGCTTCTCGTGAAATTACGCGGAAATTAATTCCTCGCATATAATTAGGAATCTACAGTATAAAACTCTAACTGATCATATTGTATAAACTATGTTCAATATTTTTCTATACGTCAATCTTTCCATTGACCATGTTAATTTTATCAATATTTTTCAGGGAAAGGAAACCATTACCTCAGTTCATTCCACAATATGTAAGTTGCAATACAGGGGTGTGTTTTACAAAAGAACTTACGACTAAGACCAAAAAATTTAGTTGATAGAAAAATTTTGTGAGAATAATAATATTGTTGAAATTGCTAGCATAACAATATCTTGTTTAATTCTTTTAAAAAAGATTAAAACAACTTTCAAATCAATGTAAATTAGAAATTTATAAACAGAATTAATTTTGGTTGTATTCCTAAGTCCTTTTGTAATATAATCACAATATGACTGTATGATTTACAACTGTAACAAAGAGTGCTGAATGCAACTTTTTTTTATTTTTTTGAAAGTCGGTTAACTTTTGCACTTTTCAAAATTGATACAGAAATCATACTAACAAAAGCTTCTACAGGATGTGTAAGAAATAAGCATAACGTGTATCATCTTTAAACAGGAAACCAGAGTTAAAGGAGATATATCAAAGGATGAAGAAAGAAAATATATAGATGAAATAATCAAGCAGAGCAGTGAAATATCTGACTTAAAAAAAGAAATCCAGGCTTTAAAATCCAGACAGAAAGAGGAACTGCTAGAAATGGAGAAGAACCACACGTATAGAGAAAGGGAACACGTACAGAAGTGTGCCGCATTATCCGCGGAGCTGAAGGTACAGGAGGAGAGATACGACACGGAAATCAGTAAACTGAGTTACGATCATCAGCGACAGATAGAAGAGCTGGAAGGTATCATTCAAGGACTGAGGGATGAACTGTCCTTGACCTTGTCTAGGGGAAAGTCAAGGTCAGAAGAACTAGAGGGTCAGTTACGGGAGACCCAGGACAAGTTATCTAGGAGAGTGGAGGAACTGGAGGCAGAACTGAGGTTAGGGTTACAAAATGAAAGGATATTTTAGTTTTAAATAAGTTACTGAAATAATAAGCTATTGAAATACAGGTTTTTTAATGTTATGCATTGAATATAGTGCAATAGTTTGTTAAAATATTATTTCCATAATGATTAAATAAATGTATATATACAGTATAAAGTGGTACAGTAAAATTTGCTTATTTGTGTTTGAAAAAAAATTTGCAATATAAATAAGTGTGTGTTTATATGGTAGATCCAAAAACCAGACACTAGAGAACCAAACAAGGCAAGTTATACAGCTGAAGAATTACATAGGAGAATCTGAAGCTGTGCCCAGACCTGTAGAAATCTGGAGGAAGGAAAAGGAGACACTAGAAAACAGACTCAAGGTTTGTGGCTCGTCAACTCTTATATCAAATTATATGTGACCTTAGTATAGACATTCATTATACACAGGTATTCTTGAGTATTGTAATTGTGCAAATAGAAATAATATTGTTGAAGCAATTGATTGAATTTAAGTGAGATTTATGTAAAATGACTTCATTTCCAGTGGTTTGACTGATTTCAGATTTGTGAGATAGACAAGGAGAATTGTCAGTCAAATCTGCAGTTGCTGAACATTAGGCTGAACTCAATGAAGGAGATTATGAATCTACAGGAGACTGAACTGTCCAGGGTAGGGCTTTTATTATTTGTATTGATATCACTGAACCACGTCAAATATTGATACTCGGATGCAGAGTCTTGTATATATTAGTGATTCAACCATCAGTCCCCTCCTTCAGCAGATATTTGTGCTGTGAACAACAATGTATACATGTCTTTTAATTGATCATTATTTATAATTCAGGCCAACAATGAAAAGCAGGACAAAACAAAACAAGACATCTTACTTCTTACCAGGTTTGTGTCACATTCTTAAAAGAAGAGTTTTCTCCCTGTTAAGCACATTCATGACTTTATGATTTAAAGAGTCACTACCTTTAACTTTGATACTTGTAATAATCCAAGTTTCTTGCAGATGGAGAGAAAAAGTTTATGAACTACTTGTCCAACAGAAATCATCCACCATTGTCCAGAAAAAGGATGAACAGAACTGGCAGGAAAAGGTCAGATACATGTATAAATAATGTCAGTGGAAAAAGACTTATGCTTATTATTTTGTACTACTAATTATTATATTACAAACTTATTTCTTATAAATCTAAAATTACTTCTTAGAATGTTAATTTCTTTCCTTAGAGAAAAAAAAAAAACACAGATTTTCAGTATTTGAAAACGTTTAATTTTTGGCATGAAAATGTAACTTATGACTCTTTTTTTTTTAATGAATTTGTGTTTAGGTGTCGGATGTGCAGAATCAACTGACCTCTGCTAAAAACCAGATAGTGGTCCTAAGTCACTCACTGGCAGACAAACAGGCACAGTTGGACATTGAGAAAAACAACAACAAAGTAAGAATCACACAAATCTGATAGGTCTGGTCCACAACAATACATGGAACAATAGAAAACGAAGAATAATTTTTTTTTTAATGATGATATGGGAAATTTAATGCATTGAAGATAATAAAAAAATAAATTTTACCCCTAAATTGCTCTGCTTTATTTAATTATGGAATAGAATTAATTGCATAGAGATTTAAAGAATATTTAAAATAAAGAATAAATCAAAAACAAAAATTGTAATTATTTAAAAAAATGAGGCAAAAAAAAAAAAAAAACAAATTGGATGTAGAAAATTTTTCTCTCCATTGTCAGAAACTAATCATACTGAATACTTAAATTTATGCATTTTATATCATACTTTTACAAAATAAGAATGGATAAAGATAAATGTTGTTTGTACCAGAAACTACAGCAGGAGGTGTACCAGGCCCAGCAGATGGCGCTCAGTCTGGACGATAGACTACAGGAAAACGCGGACAATGTGGAGCAGCTACATCAGTTCGCATACAGGTAAGAAAATACACACCCTCAAATACAGTGGCACAAAAACATTCATAACTCTAAACACATGAATTTTGGAGATAATGAACAGCATTGAAGCCCAAAGTTAATTTAAATTATACAAACCAGATGTAGAGCAAACATGTACCTTAAAAACATAAGAGGCAGGATCAGGTGCCATGGGGGAGCAAACATCTGCTGTAGACATGTGTAGCAAGAAAGGAGAAATGCACGAAGAAAACATATGGCTGGACCGTGAATTGAACCCGGGACCCCTGTATTACTAGTCAGGTGCTCTAAACACTGAGCTTTCCAGACCGATATCCACGGTCCATAAAGCCCGAACTTCTACACATGTCACAACCCTTGTGTACCTTGTCATGATCGGGTAAATGGAAAAATCCATCAACAAATTCAGTGTGTAAATAATGGCCAAAGAAGTAGTATGAAAAATGTTAGTCAGTATTTGACTTAATGATAGACTGTATTAGCTGATAAGGTCTTTGTATCAACCATATAACTTGTGAAATGACTTCATACAAGACTGGCGATAATTTTGCAGGGGTGTGAAAGAATTGAATACACTAAACGCACTGTCATACAGGTAAATTAATATTCAAAACACTGTGCATACATTAAATAGATATTTAACATTATGAACAGGGTTTAATCATGAATATACATTTACATGTAGAACAAAAGCAGGGTTCGACACTAACGGTGGACCGGCGGCCTGAGTCCACCAAAAAATTGGAAGGTCCACCAAATGTTCTGGACTAGGTGGACCGTCGGTCCACTTAAAATTTAAACACAGTATTTAAAAAAAACTGTGAAACGCCAGGGCTTTTTTTTTCTTTAAATCGAAATCCGTAACTCAAATTATTAATTCCTACATACCTTTATTTTACAAGAAATAAATATACATGTAAATACCGGGAACATTCAACAGGACCTTGAATAAGAAGCATGAAAAATCTGTACCAAATTAGCCAGGCCAGTCTCTCCTCTGTTTACGTAATGCACAAAAAGGTGTGAAAATTACACTGGGTAACAGGAAATCGCTTCACACCTGAACGCACACTGTTGGAGATAATTGGAATTGATTGACAGCTGCATTTATGCTTTGTTTTTTCAATAGATGTTCAAACAGGCGTAATTTACATTTATGAACTATTATCTGCAGTTTCATTTTTTTCTTGATATACATTATATCACTACTTATTTGAATAAACAATAAATTTAGAAAATAATTAATTAATCCACATACATGTACCTATGTCAGTTTTTCAACGTGGTAAAAAAAAATACATAAAAAATTCACTTGTTTAATATTTGAACAAATTAATTAATAATTGGAATTTTAAATGTAATCTACCTTTGGAAGCGAAATAAATGCAGGTTTTCACCATTGTAACTTAATGATTATGATTAAAATATTTCTTTTTTTTTTTTTTTTTTTTTTTTTAAATTTTTACAATATTTCTGAAAAAAAACTGACTAGTCCCTAATTGATTTGATTCTGTCGACTGGTTAGATTTATGCTTTATTAGTCTGACTGGAATCGGTATATATTAAAGTTAGTTTTAATTAATGCCTTGTGTAATGATTCATTCATTAATTCAACATTTATAAAGGTCCACCAGATATTGAGAAGATCCACCAATAATTTTTGACAAGTGGACCTGCGTTCCACCAAGGTAAAAAAGTTAGTGTCGAACCCTGAAAAGACTTAAAATCTATGACATAGTATTGACCTAGCAATGCTAGTATAGATGACTCACCTCATTTTAAGTTATATCTCTTTGTCTGCTTAGCTTATAATCTCCTTCACTGATCTATTCATAGTTTAACCCTTCAAAAGATTTTCAGAAATTTTTTGACTGCACAAAGGGATATAACTCATGTTAATGTGGAGGTCATTTGTTTATGATTTGGCTTTGTTGCTAACTTGCTACTTAAATTTTTTTTTTTCCACTTGCTTTGATTGCCATTGTTTGATTATCTTATGATGAAACTGACGATAAAACAGATAAATTATTTTTTTTCATTCTTATAGTATCAGCAGTAAGTTTGAGGGAAATTTTGGAATCATGCAAAGCATTCTTGGATCCCTGAAAGCTTACGGACAGAGAATTAGCTTTGCTAGCAGTCGGATTGAAGTCTTACAAGGTAGATATAATAAAACAGTCAATCAACGCCTTGTATCTGTCTTATTATAAGTGGGGTTTGAGGATGATTACTTCTTTTTCCACAGTTATTTTCTCAACCAATTAATGCTCAAGTAAAACTTTATCATGTGAATTCATTCAGGAATTTATGCACGGAATGAAGCCATGAAGAAAATAAATACAGGAGATAAAGATACTGTCGATGCTTCTAGAGGTCAAGATAAAGATGAAAGGTATGAGCTTCCTAATTCTTTTCCATTTAACATATATGTTTCCCAGATGAGTTACCAGATTTAAGTTTTTGGCGTAGCTCTATAGTAATGACCTGTTGTGATTAAGCTTGCATGGATGTCAAGGTGCGTCTTGTAACCTTTGATTACCTATGTTAATAAATACATGCGAGATAGTTACTTTATACCAGTTAGTTTGTTTTATGTAGTTGGTACCCTGTATTTTGAGGTCACCTGAGTAACTCAGGTGACCTATTGCTATCCGTTTTCGTCTGTCGTCGTGTGTCGTGCGTCGTGTGTTAATATTTGAACATTTTCATCTTCTTCTCTGAAACCGCTCAACCAATTTCAACCAATTTTGGCACAAAGCATCTATGGGTGAAGGGGAACAAAAATTGTGAATTTTATGGTCCCCGCCCCCCTGGGGCCTGAGGGGTGGGGCCAAAACCACTAAAATTATTGCAATCTTTAAAAATCTTCTTCTTTACTCCTGGACATCAAGCAGGCAAACTGTTGGCATGAATGTAATGAGCATTGAGTCCTCTACCAAAATTGTGTAATTCATGGCCCCAGGGTCAGGGGTTCTAGTGCTAGGGCGGGGCCCTATTGATTATACAGTGAAAATGCATGATTTCTTTGAAAATCTTCTTTTCTGCTCCTAGGTATTAAATAAACTAATCAAGCACATAGTTATGATGAGCAAGAGTGCCTCTTTCAAAATTGTGAATTTTGTGGCACCAGGGTCAGGGGTTCTGGTGTTAGGGAGGGGCCCTATTGATTATATAGTGAAAATGCATTAATTCTTTGAAAATCTTCTTCTCTGCTTTTGGGTATTAAATAAACTAACCAAGCACATAGTTATGATGAGCAAGAGTGCCTCTTCCAAAATTGTGAATTTTATGGCCCCTGGGTCAGGGGTTCTGGTGTTAGAGCGGGGCTCTATTGATTATATAGTGAAAATACATTAATTCTTTGAAAATCTTTCCTTTGCTCCTGGGTTTTATGCAAATGATCCAAGTATATATATTTATGATGAAGAAAGGTGCATCTAGCAAAATGGTTATTTTTTATGCCCCCCCCCTCCCTGGGTCGGGGGTGAGGGGGGGGGGTACAATGTCTGAAAATAAATTGATGCTTTGAAATCTGGTCTTTGGTATTAATCAACCATTTTATGATAAAATTTGCAAAATTTTGAAATATGTGGCCCCAGGTTCAGTGGTTTCTTTGGGATGAGGTGCACAACTGGTTATAAAGTGGAAGTGCATTTTCTCTTAATGTTACTCTGATCTACCTCTGGGTATTAAGTAAATAAAGTAAGCATGCTGAATCTATAATTATGATAAGCAATGGTGCCTCTTTCAAAATTGTGAATTGTGAATTTCATGGCCTCTGGTTTAAAACATGAACCAAATTGAATTGTTTGAAAGTTGTTGCACAATACTCAGGTGACCTATAAGGCCGTGGGCCTCTTGTTTTTCTTGCAGTGACACTTACGTATCATCAGAGCTGGAGCGAGTCATGCATGAAAGGGACAGACTGGCCGCACAGTTAAAGCAGGACGCGGAAACCTGGAGTGAAAGGCTACAGGCAGCCACCGCAAAATGTAAGCACCCTCTTACCTTCACCCAGCTTAAGTTAAATGATTCTAGATTCATGGCTTACATGTTTTTCTTTTACTAAAAATAAAAGCATTTGTCTTGAGTATATTATATTAGGATAAAAATCCTTTTAGGTGGAGAGGAGAATAAAAATTTAAGGAGAACGGTAGAGGACTTAGAACAGGTGCTGCAGGAAAAGTCACAGGTAAGGTTTTATATTTATTTAATTAACAAAAATAAAAAAAAAAACATTATTGCAGCCAGGTTAAAAGGACCTTTAATTTTTTTTCTTTCAAACATTCATTTAAGGCTATCATTAGTTTTTATGCTTTCATATAATGCGATTTTTTTTTGTCTGTGAAATTTTTGAAATTGGTTGAAGTGGGTAGATGAAAACTTTGACTTTTGTAGTAAATGTTAACATGTCATTTGCACTTTAAATTTAGTGATGTTTTGTCCTTCAGAAATGCTCAGCCCTGGAGGAACTGTCTGAAAAAGTTCAGGGTGAATTAGAGGAAGCTTACGATAACATAGATCATTTGAAGACAGAGTTAGCAAAGAAGGAAGTAGGAATTGAACAAGGTAATGTGATGAATATCTGGGACATTAAAAAAATATTAATGATCACAAGACTAGACTCTTGATCCATGTGAAAGGAGTTTTGGTCTGGAGAAGCTCAATTAATGAGAAATATAAGCTGTTAACTTCCATGAATAAGGTCTTGTTAGAAATGTTTGAAATGATTAGGACTATAAAACTGTTGATTTCTATGAGTGAGTTCTTTGAAAGAATATCTGTTCTGATCAGGAATGTATTAAATCTGCCCATTTCTTTCAGTGTGTAGAGATAACTGAGTTCCTTTTTTTACAGTGATAGCTGAGCAAAAATCAGAAATAGAAGCAGAATTTCGAGAGCAGCTTGCAGAATACGACAGAAAACTCAGTGATGCTAAAAGAGAGCACACCAAGGCAGGTTAGTAATATAAGGCACATCAGGATAGGTAAAGTATATAAGGCACACCAAGGCACATTAGTAATATAAGGCACATCAGGATAGGTAAAATATATAAAGCACACCAAGGCAGGTTAGTAATATAAGGCATATCATGACAGATTAGTAATATACATTAAGAGAAATCAAGTTAGGTAAAATATATAAGGCACACCTAGGCAGGTTAGTAATATAAGGCACACCAAGGCAGGCTAGTTATATAAAGCACATCATAACAGATTTAGTAATATACATATAAGACAAATCAAGATAGGATATAATGCACACCAAGGCAGGTTGATATTATAAGGCACATTATAACAGATTTAGTAATATACATGTAAGACACATCAAGATAGGTAAAATATATAAGACACACCAAGGCAGGTTAGTAATATAATATAAGGCATACTAGTAATATAAGGCACACCAAGGCAGATAAATAATATAAGGCACACCAAGGCAGATAAGTAACACAAGACACATCATGGCAGTCTAAGTTCAATAAGGCACACCATGGCAGCTCAGTTATTTAAAGCTCACCATGACATGTTAATGATACATGTATAAGGATTACCATGACCAATATTAGTAATGTAAGGCACAACATGATAGCTTGAAATTTTAAGGCACACCATTGTGGGTTAGTAATATAAGGCACTCCATAACATTTTAGTAATATAAGATGCACCATGACAGGTTAATTAAAAGAGGCACACTATGACAGGTTAGAATTATGAGGCACATCATGATAGAAAAGTATGTAAGGCACACCATGATAGGTTAGTAATACAAGGCACACCATAACAGACTAATTATATGAGGCAAACAATAAAAGGTAAGTAATATTAGGCACATTAAGGCAGATAAGTAATATAAGGCACATCATGACAGGTTATTAGAATAAGGCACATCATGACAGGTTAGTAGTACAAGACACACCTTAACAGATTAATAATATAGGGCACCCAATAACAGTTTATTAGAATAAGGCACATTATGACTGGTTAGTTATAAAAGGGAGACCATAACAGATTAATTATATGAGGCACACCATGTCAGATTAGTATTAGAGCTTTGTAGTATTACATGGGTCAGAGTATATATAACATCTATGGGTGAGGGGGAACAAAAATTGTGAATTTCATAAACCCTGCCCCAACTTTGGCTTGAGGGGTGGGCCCAAAACCATCAATGTAATCTTTAAATATCTTCTTCTTTACTCCTGGACATCAAGCAGTCGAAACGTTGGCATGATTATTATGTGCATTAAGCCTTTTACCAAAATTGTAAAATTCATGGCCCCAAGGTCAGGGGTTCTGGTGTTAGGATGGGCTCTAATGATAATATATAGTGAAAATGCATTAAGTCTTTGAAAATCTCCTCTGTTTCTGGGTATTAAACCAAAGAACTCTGTGCATAGTTATAATGAGGAAAGGTGCCTCTTCCAAAATGATGTGTGTCATGGCCCCTGGGTCAGGGGTACCATGGGATGGGGAAGCTCTAATGATCATGTACTGAAAATGAATTAATGCTTTAAAATCTGCTCTTTGGTATTAATCAACCATTTTTGATGAGCAGAGACGCCTTTTCAAAAACTGAAATATATGGTCCCTGGGTCAATGATTTCTGTGGGGTGGGGCACTACTGATTTTGTATAGTAGACATGCATATTTCTTTTTTCCTTTTGTCTGCTCGTGAGTATTTAAAAGTAAGCATACTAAGTGTATAGTTATGATTATCAATGGTGTCTCTTTCAAAATTGTGAATTTGATGGCCTCCGGTTTAAAACACAAACCAAATTCAATCGTGGGAAAGTTGTAACATCACACCCAGGTGACCTGTAAGGCCCGTGGGCCTTTTGTTCAGAAATGTCACAGTCTAGTGTTGGTGTAAAAGAGGTTTCTTACTTGTTCTTTGAAGAAATGATGATTAATTAATTCTTAGGACACTGAACCGAATGGAGGATAAGGTTCATTAATTTGCCATCAAATCCTTTTAGCCAGTCACCTTCTCTCTGCGGTCTCCATCAATTGATTGGTTATGTTGTACTGTACTGATCTGACTAATAATAAATCAGTGATTACAATCCTTCAGGCTACTTCTTTGTCTACAGACATTACATTTTTTCAAATCCCCAATTTATCAGAAAAAAGGAAAATCTGATGTTTTACCGCCAGCAAAATTTTCCAATGTTTCTCAGCTGTGTCTAACTAATGGTCTCTTATTTTATACAATGAGAACACCTTTATCAGAGTTTAGACACAGGTTTTCCATTACAGCAAGGGAATTCTTCACCCAGATTCCTGTAAAGGTGGTCCAGATTTGCAAGATTTTACGATCTTGACCTTTCATTTGACCTTGGTCTTTCATTCTTATTTTTTATTCAGCATATATTTTTCTGAAATTTTCTATAATAATATTTTGAAAGGTTTCATCATGTGTATTCATATTACTGTAATACAAAGACACAAGATCATCTAAAGAATACATATATATTACATACCCTTTTATATCATATTTTCAATAGTGTCAGGAGGGGGCATATAGTTCCAGTTTATCGAAAGGGCATACCATTTATTCATTTGACATGCCTATATGCTAAAGCTGCCAATTCTGTAGCTGATTTGTTTGTCTTAGGATATTAACTTTTTCCCTCGGGGTTTTTATGCAGCATGTTTATTATTTATCAATGCCACATCTATTAGGCATTTCTGGACCTTTTTCAAAGTAGATTATACAAAACTGTCAAATTCTATCTTTGAATTTAGGAAGATTTGGGCAATTCAAAATGTACTTGATTACATTTGGAAATATATGTTAAAAATTGTCTTTCCTATAACAGCAGGGTAATGATCAAGCAATCATCTCCAGGAAGTGTACATTTATTTTCATAAAAGACATTGCCCAAGGGAGTGGGTTAGGGCCACAATATGGGATATGTTATGTGTGAGGATATATATTGGAAAAATTGTTTTTAATTTTTCTAAACTGAAATGTAAGCATCCTCAGGTGTGCCGATCTAATTAATTCAAAGTTTGTCCTCCAGATATAGGATGATGTCACAATAGAGGATATAAGTTTTTACATTTGATTACCTTGGAAAAAAAATGTTTAAAATTCTCCCTATGAGTAGCAGGAGGTCCATAGGCATAATTAATGGTTTAGTTCAGACTCAAGTCTGTTCAAATGGTTAGTCCTCATTGGTAGGATGGGCTACATTAGGGAATCCAATTTTAACTTCTTTTGAATATGCAAGGAAACATAATTATTTAAATGTTATCTTCTCAAGAAAAACAAGATTATAGTTTGTTAAAATATTAGATTCAGATTTGTTCATTGTTCCCAGAGGTGTTGTGAGGCCTCATAGCAGATTTCATGTGTAGCAGACCTTTACATGGAAAGAGTACTAAAAGAAATTTAAAAAATACTTTCATGTGCTAGACGAATATATATAACTATATACCAGAATTATATGAATTAATGTTTTTATTCAAATTTTGGTTCCTTGGCTAAGGTTGAGATAAAAATCCATGGAAAATGAACATAACAATGTAAGCAGAACCTCAGCCATGTAACAATACCAAAGTTAAAAACTGCACATTTGGACAAATTATCCAATAGATATGTTGGTATCTCAGCAGTAGAACTTCAACATTGTCAGATTACTATTTATTGTCTTCTTTCTAACTCTGACTTCATTCTAGATTCACTTGAAGACCAATTTATGACATTTGTTAAAATATCAAAACATAAAAAATTAGAAATTCAAATATCATCAAATGAAGAATTAAAATTCATGAAAATTAAAATCATTATTATAATTTTATCTGATTTTCAGTGGTATCGTTACGACAGTTGGAACGACAGATGGCCAGGGATAAGGAGCGAACAACAGAGCAAAGCTTGACAATGGAGAAACACTACAGCCATCAGTTATCTACCCTACAGGAACAAGTCAAGTCATTGGAGAAAGAGAGAAATCTTATGATGGTCAGTCATCTACCACAGAAATGAACATGTGGTACCACATTAATTACAGAATTATGCCATGTGGTGCCACATCTATTTCAGAAATAGTCATATGGAGCCACATCTTTCTTATACAGGAATAGTCAAGTGGTGCCACATCTACTATAGAAAGTCATGTGGTGCCACATCTACCACAGAAATAGTCATGTGATGCTACATCTACGAAAGAATAGTCATGTGATGCTACATCTACTACAGAAGTAGTAATGTAGTGCCACATCTACAGAAATAGTAATGTGGTGCCACATCTTATACAGAAATAGTCATGTGGTGTCACATCTACTACAGACATAGTCATGTGGTGCCACATCTTATACAGGAATAGTGAAGTGGTGCCACATCTACTACAGAATAGTCATGTGGTGCCAGATCTTATACAGAAGTAGTCATGTGGTGCCACATCTACTACAGAAATAGTTATGTAGTGCCACATCTACAGAAATACTAATGTGGTGCCACATCTTATACAGAAATAGTCATTTGGTGTCACATCTACTACAGAAATAATCATATGGTGCCACATCTTATACAGGAATAGTCAAGTGGTGCCACATCTACTACATAGATAGTCATGTGATGCCTCTTGTACTACAGAAATAGTCATATGGTGCCACATTTATTTCAGGAATAGTCATGTCATGTGGTGCCATACAGGGATTAATCTAGGGCATATTTACTACTGATATTTGGTGTTTTTCCCCTAGAGAAAATTTCCCCTCAAATTTTTCCCTTTGATGAATAAAATATCCCTTTTACAATAATAAAAACCTCAAATATTATTTTTCCTTCTTAAAAACTGAAAATTTAAAGTAAAATTTTTCAGTATATGAGAAATATAGTTTAACTTTGCTATTTTAAATGTTAATAAAAATGCTGAAATTCAATTGGCCCCCAAACAGGGCTTGCCCTACACTTGCTCAAATGGTTCCCAGATCCCAGCTGATTTTACCAATTTCTCCAGAAAGGGTAGTTTCCCCAAAAACCTAGATTAATCCCTGCCATATCTAATACAGAAAAGGTCAGCTCATGTAGTGCAACACCTTCTACAGAAATAGTCATGTTATGTTGTGTCACATATACTAAAGAAATAGTCATGTGATGCCACATCTACAACAGAAGAAGTCATGCGGTGTCACATCTACCACATAAATAGTCATGTGGTGCCACATCTACTACAGAAGTAGTCATGCGGTGTCACATCTACTACAGAATAGTCATGTGATGCTACATCTACTACAGAGGTAGTCATATGGTGTCACATCTACCACATAGATAGTCATGTGGTGCCACATCTTATACAGAAGTAGTCATGTTGTGTCACATCTACTACATAAATAGTCATTTGGTGCAACATCTTATACAGAAGTATAGTCATGTGGTGTCACATCTACTACATAGATAGTCATGTGGTGTCACATCTACTATAGAAGTAGTCATGTGGTGCCATATCTACTACATAGATAGTCATGTGGTGCCACATCTACTACAGAAAAAGTCATGTGGTGCCACATCTTATACAGAAGTAGTCATGTGATGCCACATCTACTACATAGATAGTCATGTGGTGTCACATCTACTACAGAAATAGTCATGTGGTGTCACATCTACTAGAGAATAGTCAAGTGATGCTACATCTACTACAGAAGTAGTCATATGGTGTCACACCTACTACATAGATAGTCATGTGGTGCCACATCTACTACAGAAATAGTCATGTGGTGCCACATTTATTTCAGGAATAGTCATGTCATGTGGTGCCTTATTTAATACAGGAAAGGTCATGTCATGTAGTGCCATGCCTTCTACAAAATAGCCATGTTAATTTGTGCTACATATGCTAAAGAAATAGTCATGTGTTGCCACATCTACTGCAGAAATAGTCATGTGGTACTACATCTACTTTAGAAATAGTCATGTGGTGCCATTTCTACTACAGAATTAACCATGTGATGCCACATTTAGTATAAGAATAGTCATGCTATGTGGTGTTGCATCCAATACAGGAATAGCCATGTCATTTGGTGCCACATCTATTACAGGAACACTCATGTGTTTTTAGCTTAACATGTACTACAGGAAAAGTTATATTGTGTGGAGGGGGACACAACTTCTACCTGAATAGTAATGTCATGGGTTGCCACATTTACAGGAATAGTCATGTCAAATGGCACCATTATTATTATAGGAATTGTCATGTGGTGTTTCTATTACAGAAATGTGGCTGCACATCTTATATAGGAATAGTCACATCATGTGGCCCATCATCTCATACAGGAATAGCCAATGAATGCTTAAAAGTAATCATCAAATTTTACCAGATATAAATTTCTGCACACATTAATTTTATATATTAATACTGTAAAACGAGAAAATTTAGTGCATACGTATTTTAGCGCAATTACAAGTGGGAATGCATTGGCACAAATAAATTTTAGTGCCTGCACTTGTCTTTAAAATGTATAAATGTGATATTGTTTTCTTTCATCCATGCCCGTATTTGACTTTTTGGTTAGTCAAGCACGGAAACACATATAAGAAACATTCGTCAACTTTTAGTATGGTGCTGCAATCACATGGACATGGCACAATGTCAATTTTATTTTAATTGTAAATTTTGGGAAGTTCAAGGTCACTGGAAGAACAATTTCATAATTCGTGTCTGGTCCATATCTTTCTTATAGTTAAACTTGGTAAGTTCCTATTTCAAAGATTGCTCATGACTTAAGGGTGTGTCATGACCTTGACCCAAGGTCATCTGAGCAAGTTCAAGGTCACTGAAAGAAAAATTTTATAATTCATGTTTGGTACATATCTTTATTATGGAAAAAACTTTAATCTACTACTTCAAACAAAGATGGCTTATGACCTGAGGGTATGTTATGATCTTGAGCCAAGGTCATTTAAGTTCAAGATCATTGAAAGAAAAAAAATTCATAATTCATGTATGTTCTATATCTTGCGTATGGATAAACTTGGTGAGTCTTATTTCACACAAAGATTCCTCATGACCTAAGGGTGTGTCATGACCTTGATGCAAGGTCATCTGTGCAAGTTCAAGGTCATTGAAAGAAAAAGTTCATAATTCATGTTTGGTACATATCTTTCTTATGGAAAAACTTGGTAAGGTCCTGTTTTACAGAAAGATTGCTTATGTCTTGAGGTTGTGTCATGACTTTGACCCAAGGTCATTTGTGCAAGTTTAAGGACACTGAAAGGAAAAAGTTCATAATTTTGCCTGGTCCATATCTTTCTTATGGATAAACTTGGAGGGTTCCTCATTTACACAAAGATTGCTTATGACCTGAGGGTGTGTCATGACTTTGACCCAAGGTCATTTTTGCAAGTTCAAGGATACTGACAGGATAAAATTCATAATTCATGTCCGGTCCATATCTGTCCTATGGATAAACGTGGTGAGTTCCCATTTTACACAAAGATTGCTTATGACCTGAGGTTGTGTCATGACTTTGAACCAAGGTCATTTATGCAAATTCAAAAGTCACTGACAGAAAAAGTTCATAATTTGTGTCTGGTCCATATCTTTAGTCTTTAATTTTTTTTTATTAGGCTGCACCTTCATTCATTCATAAAAAAAAATATAATGAGCAATAACATTGCACTAAATATGTTTTAGCACTTCTCTCTTCTCTTCGATCCATAAAATATTCATGATTTGGCACCTCTGAAAAACCCTGCGGGGGGTATTTTGTCCCACTTGGACAGTTCTAGTTTAAATTTTGCATCTGTATAAACTATTTGAATATTAACTTTGTCAACCTAGAGCCAAATCATCCTAGAAAAAAGGAGAAAAAATGATGGGAAATGACTCTAATACAAATTAACTTGAAGAAATTGATCAAATATTGAAATTACAAAGGTTGGAACTTAATTGCAGATTTGTTTGAGTTATTATCAGACTTAGAATTTCCTTACAGGGACGGTTTCCCCCTTCTTTTTTTGGAGAGGGTATTTAAGGTTATTTGTTTAGAGCTAGTCAATAAGCATTTATAACTCAGCTACATTCCCTAAAGCATAAGACAATAAGACGAAGGGGTCATAGAATTATTTCCAATTACTTTGATTAGCCTCTTAATGTGAAATTATCCAAGGATAACAGGCAGTCATTATTTATTTACAATCTGTTTTCCTTTCTAAAACCTGACAGTAAATGCTTCATTTTCATTAATCATTTTTGGAGGGTACCGCTTTCTGCATTAATGAACAATTTTGTTAATCAGAAATTCAAAAACCCAGTAAAAATTGACACCTGCACTCCTTCCAATAATTGCAGGCAACACTGAGACAAGAGGGATTGCTGAGCAAAGTCAGGTCACAAAGGTCAGAGCCAATCCAGATACAGGAAGTAGACGTCCAACAGCAGTTCAAAGAGGTCACCACCTATCACAAGAATGCCCCCGAAGAAGAAAAGGAAAATGGTATGCATGCCTTTTAATGATTTATTCATGTTTTATAGCAAAGACCTGAAGGATATTTTATATATTAGCATGATTATATCCTTCTGGTAATCTTGGTTATCTTTTGAATAATTAGAGCATTGTTAGCCCTATAAAATTTATTAGACCATATTAAAAAAGAAAATTCAGTTATTATATAACCATGTCTGATTAATGATCTGGCCACCTTTGTCTTCTTGAAATTCCCACAAGGCGAATGTTATCCAGCAGTAACATATTGAAATGTGAATGATCAAAATATCCTTTCTTGAAAATCGTAAAATTGTTATCACAGTGCATCGTGAAATATATTGTGGAGATCATGTAAGAACACAAAGCTTCCTGGACTCTCCTTATTTTTAGAATATTTGTTTCTACAGGGAATTGTTACTACATCGTTCTTAACAATCTGTTTTGAGTGATACTCTTTCGCTACTGAAAGTCGCTCACATAGCGCAGAGCTTAGTGCCTCTGCTTTAGAGTTGCAAAGTAAAGTGTTGACCCTTACGATGTCAGTTCGAATCCCACTGTTGGATGTGGAGACCGGTCCTTTGAATGAGACTGTATAAACCAAGGTCCCTTGTCATAGTAGGTGCTGGCATGAAAAAGATCCCTCCCTGCTCAATGGCCGTAAGTGCTGAGTAAAGGACAAAATTTGCAGCTCTTCACCAGCAAGTGGTGCCTCTTCAAAAATTATGAATTTCATGGCCCCGGGTCTGAGTTTCTGGTGTTAGGGCAGGGCTCTATTGGTTATATAGTGAAATGCATTCTTTGAAAATCTTCTCTGCTTCTTAGGTATTAAAAAACTACATACAAAGTTAAGATGAGGAAGGTTGCCTTTTTGAAAATTATGAATTTCATGGCTCCCTGGGTCAGTGGTTCAGGTGTTAGGGCAGGGCTCTATTTATTATAAATTGAAAATACATTAATTCTTCAGAATCTTCTCCTTTGCTCCTGGTTATTAAGCATATGAATTACCTATATAGCTATGATGAGCAAGGGTTCTTCTGTCAGAATTGTAAATTTCTAGGCCATGCTTGGTTAAGGGTACTGTGGAGGGGAGAGGTAATTAAAAGAATTAATGCTTTGAAATCTGCTCCTTGGTATTAATCAAACATTTATGTTGAGCAAGGATGCCTTTTCCAAATTTATGAAATGTGTGGACTCAGGGTCAGTGGTTCCTGTGGGGTGGGGACACAACTGATTATTGCTGAATATTACTTATTAGTTGAAATGCATTTTTTGTTCCCGTACTCTGCTTATGAGTATTAAGGAACCAAACTAAGCAGGTTAACTATAGTTATGATGAGCAATGGTGCCTGTTTCAATTTTATGAATGCCATGGCCTCTGGATTAAAACCAAATTCTATGGTCGAAAAGTTGTTGCATGATGCTCGGGTGACCTATAAGGCCCAGGGGCCTCGTGTTGGTTATCTAATGCTTTTTGTAATCAAGGTCATTGGTCTATAAACATCAATCCCAGGTGTACCATGGAAATAAATAAATTTATATACAGTCACTGACTCTACATAGATAATTGCTGACAGCTAGGGTATTTCTCTTGGGTGGAATATATCTATATATATCTATATATTTATGTAAGGAAGATTTTCCCTCTCGTATTCTTCTTTTTTTAAAAAAACTGATGTAGGTATAAGTTCATAGACCTTTGAGCTACCACAGATGAGCAGGAAAAACAATATTTCCTAAAGCTTGACACAATTATAATGTCTATATTACCTGGAGAATCCTTTAAACATACCAGTACAGACAAATAAATTAACCACATCGTAACAGTGGTAACTCAGTTCAAAATAGTCCAGACTAACTTTGGGAAAAAAATTGCTTGACAGTTTATTTATTTTTTTTTCAGTTTATACATGATATATTAATTTGGAAGTTAAATTTGATAATTTGAACATATGTCTTTCATTTTTGCATTTGAAAAGTTCACAAAAAGGATTGATGTTCGTGAACTTACAGTTTTGAGTCAATCATAAAGGATATTCTTCAGTGATATATCTCACATTTTTATTTACCATGTTTACAGGAGGTTAAAAAATTTAGATTGAAATAAAATTTGCCATCCATGCTTTTAATTCTCTCGAATTTGTTTCCTCCTTAAAAATGACTGCCAAGTTGTCTGATGTCATTCCTGTTATTTTCAGGGAATGACGAGGCACTATCAGCTGTTCTGGAGGATTTAAAAGTGTTAACCACCGCGGTAATGGAGGACAATGTCTCGGACTCCGAATCAGACAGCTGACGAGGAATAATATAAAGACGCAGGAGTGTTACCGTGATATTACGTGACAGAATAATCCAGACCCCTTGTGTGTGTCAGAGAAAATTAGCTGACTGTCAAATCAATGCTATGCCCTAGAAAAAGGAGAACACTGGGTGAAAGAGGATTGCTTTCATTGTTTCAATATTGGAACAATACTTTTTACATGACACAGATATATAATATGGCCTAGTAGGATTAGTTTGATAAAACTGGTCAAGGCTGTCTTTAAGTTGGATACAGCTTTTAGTTATCATCTCTGCAAGAAGAAATTGGGGGTGCTTTCACAAATGTTGAAAGGCAAAGATTTAGAATTATAAAAAATATTAAGAAGCATAGAAATAATTTATCATGTATCACTATTAATTAAGTTATATTGATCAAAGTTTTACCCAATTGTACTCGGAAGAAACATAGCTAAAATATTGATAAGATTAAAATTATTTGTTATTTTTCAATAGCATAAGAATTTCATGCCAATAAAGTTACAGTATTATAAATCAAAGTACTGTGAGTACTGAAAGACGGTGGCATGAATGATTTTGTTTGTTTGTTTCCAAATTTTTATTTCGAAACAATACTCATGTGATATTTTTAAAACCGTTTTTTTTTTCGTGCGTAAGTACATTGAAGCATGTTAATGAAGTATTAAGAGTCATTCTCTGTAAGAATCAAAGAATTCAGAAAAAAGTTGGAAATGGTACATCACAGATTTGGCTGATTTTTTGCATGCAATGTAGAAACACAATGTATAGAACATTTTGGGGGTTAATTTTTTATTTTGAGTCCCGGTTGCCATGGTAACCAAAACCACCATTTTGAGGATAAAAATACAGAGCAACCTACTGAAAGTATACCATCTTCATCATAAATTTCTATGTTCTACATATTATTTACAGACTTAATTGTTGCCTACTCTGATAGACTATTTGTTGGAGTAACTACCTCAACTGATGAAATTATTCAATAGTAGGTCATGAAAGAGTTGTTTTTCAGTGAAAAGTGTGAATTTTTGAAATTTTAACAAATTTGAAAAAATGCCAATTTTTGGCATCTTCTACGCATAGTAGCAAGAAAGCGCGGGCAATCCATAACAAACAACTACCATCACTGAAAAGGTCATTCCTTACTAAACAAAATATTAAATTTCTAGAGAGGTAATATTTCTTGAAATAAAATAAAATGAAAACGAAAATGGTTGCTATGGAGATTTTGGATTGATTTGCAGATTTAACATTCGGCTCCTTTTTGTACATTATAGCTTTAAAAAAATCAAAAGTAAAACAAATCACACTAATAAACGTCGTCATTTTAATATATTATGATAAAAAAATGTTCATAAGTTCATAATTTTAAAAAAATGTGTTACTATAGCAACCAAAAAGTCGGAAAAAATCAGTATAATTATTGACGTTATCATTATGCAGAATCTGTGGCCTCAGTGCATGATTTAATTTATTCATTTAAATAGATAACACTTGTTATATTTGTTATTTCACCTTTGTACATTTAAAAAAAAATATTTTAAAAATTCAATTGTCTAAAATCATGATGCTATGGTAACTAAATAGTTTTTAGTCTTCCTTTTTGTTTTTGTTCCCAATTTACTGACAAGTAAACAACAAAAAATATACAGTATAATTTGTCCAAACCGGCTACCGCCCGTTCCATAAAATTTGGCCGGTTTAGACAGAATCCGGAGTGCAGGAAAAATGCAGGAAAACATTAATTTTGAAAATCTCGTTGTTTATTTACAAGTTCATTATCATACATAATATAAAATATAATTAAATAAAGAAATCAATCACTATTTTGGAGTCTAGAAATTATAAAATAGTCTCTTATGACTTACTGTATTTTCTTGTTTTTCACGAAGTTTGAAAGTCGGGTGAAATGTAACCTAAATCAAAATCTACAGGCACGCATAATATAGGCCTACTATATATCAAGCGAATTATGTTTCGCTTGTCAAAGAGCTCATTCAATGTAAAAAGAGTAATGCACAATCATTTACGAGTGCTTATTATTAGATTGAACTTTTAATTTTCATGTATAAAATTACGTCTTCCCCCGCAGTATTTTGGCGCCATTTTGAAATGCCTCCAATTTTCGATCCCGATTTATATATTTATTTGTAAATCGCGTACACATTTATTTTTTTGTTATAATGTGGTAAAAGGGTCGAGTTAAAACAAAATTATTATTTTTTAATTGTAATTCAATCATATACTAGTAATTTTTTTCAACCGAGCTGTGTCACCGCCGCGTTTCACTGAGTTCGTTTCATGGCACTGCTAATGTAAACACAGATCATCAAATCCACCACGAAAGATGTTAATTGCTTTGAAGTAACTCAGGTGTGGCCGGATTAGAGGAAATAATTACCGTTAATTATGAGCAGTTGGGACCAGTATGGCCGTTCGGAATACAGAATAGACAGTATCCGGATTACACAGAATTTTTTCTAATGTATTTGTTAAAGAAGTGCATGGGACTAAAATTTATAGACGGAATGGACAAAAATCCGGAGTACACAGAGTCCGGATTAGACAAATTTTACTTGTAATAGCTTTATTTATGATTATTTTCTTTTTCAATCAAATAAATTGAATTTAATTGTATTTCACTAAATACCAAAATAGAAATTCATAATTTCTTTTAAAAAATCAATAGTTCAGGAAAATCCCTTTCATTGATATTTTTAATATACAAAATCTACTTCCGTATTACATGATTATAAGTCTTCTTCAATAAAATAAATCACATTAACCTTGTCATTAATTTTTCACTAACATGAAAAAAGAAAATAGAAATTCATAATTTAAAAATAAAACAGTTGCTATGGTAACCAAATAATTCAGGAATGATCCAAATATTTATTGATTTACCAGTATACAAAACCCATAGCACTGTCACAAATGTTTGATTATACTTCTAATTAATTAATTTATTTACCGGGACAAAAACAGATGAATTCAAACTTTAACTGATCACATATATCTGAATTACTGCAGCAGGATTTGTTTCCATTCAAACAATTAGTACCTATATAAAATCATGACCGATCTTTTTGAAGCAACTTGCTTTCTTTATTGAAACATATACACAGTTTACTTAAGTTTAAGTAGGACAAGCACATAGTTAAGAGTGCCCCCCCCCTTCCTCAATTCAACTTAATTGTTTTGCTGTTGTTGAATTGATCTTTTGCTGTTCCTTTAGTAAGGAATTATTATACCACCGCTACAAAGGAGAGGGGGGTATACTGATTTACTTTTATGTGTCTGTCTGTCAGTCTATCTGACTCAGGCTAGCTGCCTGTGCAGCTGTAGGTAACAAATTTTTGGTGTCGGTTTTCTAAGCAACTATTCATTGAAGATGCTTGAAATTTTACCACAGTATTTTCTAAGGCATACCATATATATTGGGTACCATTGAAGTTTAAATCTGGTGTCAACTTCCTGTTTATCCGTGTGTCTGCCCATACCATACATAACAAATTTTTGTTGCAGTTTTCCCAGCAACTACGCATTGCAGATGCTTGAAATTTTAGCACACTCTTTGCTAAGGCATGCCATATGGTAGGATCCATTTTTGTTCAAATCCAGGGACGTAGCAACGGGGGGGGGGGGGGCACGAAACAGGATTTTCGAGTTTGGGCAACTCTCAAATTTCCTTTCTTTTTTTTTTTTTTGCTTGTCAACTTTTTCAGGTAAGTAAAAAAAATTTCTCTGGTTGCCCCCCCCCCCACTTTCAAAAACGATGCTACGTGCCTGAAATCAGATGTTGACTTCCTCTTTATCTGTATGTCTGTCTGTAACTGAACTTGTGTAAATCAACATGATAGTCTCTATTAATTCAAATCAGATCGGGGATATTACCAGTGAGCATTGACTTACAGACTTCTTGTTTATCAAGTTGGTTGCAGGCCTTTTGATATAAAAAAATCCTTTTTGTTGCAGTAGCATATGTATAGTGTAAAACCCTGTCATGCAGCCATTAGGTATTTAAAAAAAATCTTGTTGAAAAGATGAATTTGACATCTCTTCCATATTATACTTTCCCCCTGAAAGAATATATATGTCCCTCAAATTTTGCCAAAACAATATGCTAGGGGAATAAATTATTTTTTATGTGGCTCATTTTCCATTTTTCCTTCCATCATTTACATTTTAGCTCAAGCACAAAGAAACTGTTGAAGAGAAAAATGTCAATCATCCACATTAAGAATGACAATCAAAATTCAATATGTAATTTAAAAATTTTGTGATTTTGTTCTTCATCATTTAGGCACAGAGGTTAAAATAAGTACAAGGGAAAGTGCAATTAGATGGAAAGCATATAATATATATATCTTTATTGCCCAAGACATACATCTTATAGCATTATAAGAAAATGTAACAAACATCAAATAATAGGTTACGTGACATGGTAATATAAACAAATGTAGTATATAATGGTAGATAGTAACAACCTTAAACAATATAGAGTTTATGCATATACTTTAGACAGAAAATGTTTTTGTGACACTTTCACGTATTTTAAAAGCATGGTGGAGGTAAATACCTAAATTGCACAGTTCCTTAAAGTTTTTTACACTTAACAGTTGTATTAATTTGAAAACTGAAGGTTTTTTCCAGTAATATTTTTTAATGTATCGACATCTAATATCACTAAATTGAGGGCATTTTAAAATAAAATGAAATTCATCTTCAATATCTAAATGGCACATTTCACAATATCTATCATTTGCTGGTATATTATTAATACAGACCACCGCAGCTCTTATTTAGGTCCAAAACACTGTCTGTAGGGGCTATGCTACTGAGAGTGAACTCCTTATTTATAAACTTTTGAAATTCAGTAAACAGAGAACCTCATTTTGACTCAAAGTGAGTGTAATATTACCTTAGGTTTTTTTTGTTAAAGTGAGGAGGGGGGAGATAAAATGTTACCGACCACTCCTATCTAAAACTATTTAGAAAGCTTCTTTTAAAGAATATTTTCCAGAACATAGAGTCCATAAATGGAATACTGAGAAGTCCTCATAAAATATGTCAAAATCAAATATAATATTTTTTTTCTTTCTCCACTATAATTTGGGCACATAAATCCACGGGCACTGGAAGTTAATGTAAATATATAGTGCTGTATGTGCATGTACATGTATAAAAAAAGCCTTTTTTTATTCATGCACATTTATATTTTAATTACATTAACTTCCAGTGCCCGTGCATAAATCTATGATTTCAACAACGGCCATTTTACGTGGCCCTAGTGACGCGGAGTAAAGCAAAACAGGGATAGGGAACCAGGCTACAGTAAAGTGTACACATTGTATTATAAATTTGGCTTCAGTTTAACTGTGACAGTGTTTTGCTATGACAAAAAATCTTAATAATTATGTAATTTATTTTCTCTTTGCTGCAATAAAATAATCTGTTAGGAAATAAATTTCTAAGTTCTTTCAATTTCATGCAATAAGTTCCTAAATGAAAGGACACATGTCACCCCTGATCATCCCTATTCACAAAAAAAATTTGCATAAACAAATTTCAGCCCTGCACAAACTGAAATCTAAAAGAAAATTGCAATTTTTTCACGTATTCAGTTTAGCGATGTGATTTCATAAGGTCAACCTTCAAAAGAAAAAAAAAATAAATAAATTTATCCAAAAAAAAAAAAAAAAAAAAAAATAAATGAATTCTAAAAAAAAATATGATGAAATACCTTGCATGACAATAACTTTTAAGCACCCCCCCCCTCCTTTTTTTCAAGCACACAATTAGAAAGCTGTTATGAGGTAGGCCTATTTAGCTTTTGTCATATACAGAATTGCTGTAGTTTAATTTGGTTAACATATAAAATTTTTATCAACAGATAGTTTATATAATTTTCATCCACATCTGATTTTAAGAAGAATGATAATATGCCTAGACTATAAATTATTGATATAATTTATTAGATTCATGTCATTATTTATGTTTTGGGTACTTTAATGTTTTTTTTTTTACTATAAATAGTACGTCATACCCTATTATTAATAATCTCATACAAAACATGTGCAACTGCCAGGTTTTAATAAATCTCTGCGTGGTAAATATTTCATTGGTACTTGCCTAGTGATCTTCTTATTGCTAGGTACCTTTCTACATCACAACCTTATCATTGGCGGATCCAGAAGGGGGGGGGGGGGTCCGGGGGTAATAACCTTATTATGCCACTCTTAGCTCTGAAGTCCATTTTACTGATGTTACTTTGTTTTAAACATTTTTTAAATGATGCAGCACTTGTTACATAGGCAGGAATTTCATAAAATGCAATCCATTTTCAAGTTTATCAACGTACTCTGTCTGTCTGTACACAAACATGTATATCTCTCAGACACAGTCGAGCCTGAGCAAACATTTAAGAGTTTAACTATGGGTAATGTTAAATACTTCACAAGTTGGATTAAAAACCCTGAAAATATCCAAAACAGACAGGATTTTTTCCTCAAAGTCGTTTTCTGCTGTGTATTTTCACTTTCATTTTCATTGATTTAAGCAAAAGATTTCCGAAAGGGGAAATAACTCTTGACAAAAATGTGTGTAAATACATATTTTTACAAACTTTACAATCAATTTATTTTCTTAAAATAAATAATACCTCTCCAGTTTTTTGATATGTTCTTAATAAATGTTTAAGGTAAAATTCAGAGCATCAGAATATTCCACTAGTGCCTGCGTTTTTTGTGTACATTGTTGTGTTCAACCCCCCTTTTTCAAAGCAATTTTATAATAATTTGGCAATTTATGGCAGGTCCAAATATTTTTTTTCAACTTCTTGTATAAAAAATACAAATAACAAATTATTTCAAAGAAATAAAAATAATAATAATCACCATAATTAATTAAATGTACTTTAATGGGATGAAATATCATTTTAGGTATTTTCCACCCATGTGCAAAAACAGGTAACCTGGTTGCCATGGAAACAAGACGAATTGATCACTTTCAATAATATTTTTGAAAATCGGGCTTATAATGTAATTATTTCACCGGGTTTCAACAAAATCCGTGAGATTCAATTTCCAGCCCATTTTGATGCTTACAGAGAATGACTCTTAATTTTTTGTCTATATTTTATCAAAAGAATTCAGATACACTAAGATATGATAAATAGATACTTGCGAAAAGTTTCATCTTGCAGCGCCTACTATTTTTCGAGAAAAACGCTTTGTACACGACAACCCTCGTATACTGCTCGAAAAAAAAAAAAAGATAGAAAAAAAAAAGAATAACAAGATATTTTTTTGTCTCTATTTTCCGTCGTCTCAAGTCACGATCGGAGTCTGTATATATGCGCATGGAGCTTTCTCCAGAATGGGAGAGGATATGGTTTGCGATAATGGTATTTCTCTTACGTAATATTCTAATAATTATGCAATAACCCTGCAAATCATTGCGAAATACATATTTACTGCTTTGTGAACACACCAGAAGACTGACCTAAATTTAGCCCACTAAAATCGCATAAAATCCTAATAATAGTATTATTTCATGCACATGTATTTGAATACCTTTTTTGTACACCCTTTAAAGGGTAAATTTACTAGAGGCACGTAACTTAGAGTTTCTAAATAGGAATGAAATATATGGGTAAATTGTCCGTTATAGTCTTTGTAATTATAGCTTTTACAAATTTTTATCCGTTGAGTCGTTTTTGTGTCCGAGATAATCAGACAAAGTCTTATTTTTAAAAACTAGAATGGTAATAAACTTAGCAAATTTTATGGCATCATATACCTCCAACAACCATTTTATTAACTGATTAAGATGTAGTGATCTTTTTTCTTCTTTCCTAAAATACATATATTCGTTTTACTAATATAGCATTGTAAACAGATATAAGAAATTCAAACAAAAAGACAAAGTTTGTTAAATTTCAATAAAATATTTTTAAGTTTTATTGTAAAAAAAAAAATCACAAAGCAGTATTCAAGAAACAGCCTGTGTTGTTTAGCAATTACTAGTATTTGATTTCGGAGTTAGATAGTGAAACAATCATACAATGAAATCTTCAAATATTTTTCTACAATTAATTGGTAATTTTAAAGAAACACAATGTGCGTACGAAACGGATTTTTCGAACATGTGAGAAAAAAACGAAAAAAATGTACGAATTGACATCTGTAGTTTGCATACGAATATACGAGTCGGTTTGTGTACGAGTTAGTTTAGTTCGGCGTAACGCAATGAATATTCATGAGGCGAGAAATATTGATAACGGCAAATATCAGGAATTAGGCTTTGTATCCATCAACGAAATGTCTTTGAAATAACTTGAAAGTATTTGTTAACTGTGTACATTTTATTTTCAAACATCGAAATAAGTCTACTTTCATTATTTTGACTCTGCAAAAATCGCCGCTAGGGTCCCTGTGTGTTTACACAGACCAGCAGCAATAGCCTGTGGCTATATATAGCCACCGTCTAAAAAGTCTATCCAATGTCTTCCTATTTATGAATTTTGTTCAAATTTCAATCATTCTTGCTCCAGATGGGAGCCAATCAAAGTGCCCTGTAGAACAGTGTTTATGATATCAGTGCATAAGGGTATACATGTACACAGCTAATTGTGCCACGTACGTGTTACATATGGTTGCACATAACACATGTTTCACGTATGTGAAATGTACGTATCACATACGTGTATTACAAACATACGTTTCACGTATGTAGTACAACGTGCGTATAACATGTGTGTGACTACATATGTTTCACATAATGAAATACTTTTTTTATGAAATACACGCACGTATTACATACGTTACACGTATGTGTAACATATGTTAAGTGCAACCATACGTTACACGTACGTTAATAAACGTACGGTTTACATGAGAATTGTCAACCACATGTTACACGTACGTTAATGAACACATGGTTTACATGTGTAAAGTCAACCACATGTTACACGGACGTTAATGAAGTCATGTTTTACATATGTTTAATAAAGCACAAATTTCATGTGTATTATAAATCACACATTACCGGTACATGTACTAATGTACATATATAAATTATGGTTAACTTATATTATAAAGCTCGCATTATTTACACATACGTTGATGAATATAGTATGTGTATTATCAGCCACGTGTTACATATACATTAAAATACATTAAAAAAAGGTGGTTTACATGTGTGTGAAAAGTATGTTCGAGAAACTTGTATATTTTGTAAATTCATACTATTACATCCATGTATGAGAAATGTAGGTTGACTATAAATCTTATCCTTTTCATTTTTATTTAATTTCAAATCTAATTAATTATTTAAATTATCATTTAGTTTTTGCTATTACGAGAAAAAACAATGCCTTAAACATTTATTGTTGCTTGGGACTACAATATTCATTTAAAATACAAGAACTTTTTGTATAAATGTATGGGTAGTAGACATCTGACCAAATTTTCAGTCTCTACCCATCTCGCTGAGATTAGTCTGTGAGCTTTCAGTTGTGATTGGGTTTAACCAAATATCATAATAATGTGTTTTTTAAAAAAGATATTTTAGATTTGTAAATATTATAATGATTAAAATCCATGTAACTTCTGATCTAAAGTCCCGTTATACATGTTATAAGATGGATTTTATAGATGGTCATATCACCATAATGGCTCTGTTAACTGAATAACAGGTTAAGCCCTAGCGCCTATATGATTGTTAGATATTATCTTGATAGGTTCTCCAAAATCTTTTTAAACTATTAAGTAAAAATAGTTAGGCCTAGTTGTGGAAGTAGTAGACGTCAGACCAAATTTTCAATCTCTACCCATCTCACTGAGATTACTCACAGACGTGTGCGTTGTTGACTTGTGAATGTCGCGCGTGTTTTGCGTCTTTAATGTTTCAATTAAGGTGTTTCCACCCTCACAATTTTATAGGTTCAAAGTACAAAAACTTGATTTATTTTCATTTAATATACTTTAAACTTTCCAATTATTGCAAAAAATGTATAGGTCACCATATTATTTAAGATGCGAAACATAAATAAACAGAAGTGTATGTCAACACAAAAAATCGCACATTTTTTGTTAACAGTATTATGAAAAATATGTAAAAACTGGTTAAAATGCATAATTCTGATGCTGAGTGTTCCTAAATACTTCCTACTTAAAAAATACTTTTGAATTGTGAATATCAGGGAAACTATTTTACAATAAAGCAAATGCCTAAATGAAGAGACCTTAGAAGGAGTTATTGCCCTTGTCAACATTTTTAAAAATTGAATAATTGATTAAATAAAGAAAATATGCATTTTTTAAATTCTTTAACTTAACAATATTTATAATTACACCTATTGTAAAGCATTCATCCAAGAGATATTGTTCTATTAGGTATGAATTTAAACTAATTACAGTTTTTGAAAAAACCTATGACATCATAGGAGGGTGGAATTACCTTAATTTCACATTGTTTACCTTACGTCCACGTTTATGTCTGGCATGATGTTATCAGTTCGCATTGGTTTAAAATCTACTCTAAAAACGGTAAACAAAGTTTACACCAAGTTCTCGTCTTGTATATCGGATATCGGTAGAGGTACATAAATATAAACTCGGTCATCGATAGATATAATCAATCCGAATTCAAGAGCAAAACTAAATTGAAAAAAAGAAAGAAAGAAATTCACGATAATTTCACAACAAATCTCTAATTGGAGTAAATGATTTACCTAAATAAATATCTAATGTACAGTGGGTACCGTCCGTATAAAACTTATAAAATATACTTTCCGGAATTTTCCAGCCTCCATTTATGTATTACATGTACGTTACCAGTGACGTCACTGGAAAGAGAAGTCTGACGTCTGCCAAGTTCTAGGGCCAAGCTAACGGTGAGGAATGCATAAAATCAACAATTATTATTTTTTTTTATTTAATTACTTTATGACCACTGATGACTGTGTGTTGCATGTAAACTAAGGGGGTGTTTTTTCATGCATTACATAAAGGAGACTTGGGTTATCAAAAACAGAAAATATTGACCATGTTGAGGCAGTGAGCTGTTTGGTTGAAACAAGGGCACGTCATGTATCAAAATGCAGGTGAAGTTTAAAAATACTGTAATAACAATTAAGTATTTATTTAAAATGTTTTTAACCTAACAAATAAGATGCAAAGAAAAAAAAAGAAACAACATCAATTTGATATAAAGTTCCAATCACTGAATTTATTTCTTTTTTGCAGTGTATTTAAAACATCACATTACTTATGGTAAAGAAAATCATTCTCTTTGAGGGCAATAATGGTGTAACAGTTTTGTTTTTACATAATTGTCCTTTTTCATCCTTATGAATATAAATTGTGTAAATGAGATTGTGTATTTTTATGTTATTTTAGATATGCATTCCAGGATGGTGACTGAAGCTCATCTTTGTAAACACCTAAATGCCTAAAATGAACTTCAAAACAGATTCTGAAAGTTTAACCAGTATTAATCTTATCTTAAATATGGTAATTATAACTTTTAAAAAGGAATAAGATTTTCTGATCATATTGCTTTTAGACTTGCAAATACTACATGTAACTTGAAGCTTTCCATGTAAAATTTGAAATGCAATTGAGTTTGACCAATTTCACACTACTAAGAGTTATCTTCCCTTGTCGGCATAACTCTCATTTTTCCCACTTTGCCCTTTGTAAGTTACCTGTTGGGCTGTTATTATTTTCAATCTTCAAACGTTATTGGACAATTTAGATCTGTACCTGTATTGCCAAAGTTTGGGGCAACATGAAAATCTTGATGAACATATTCATTACAGATTTTATTTTTAAGATACTGAAAAATAAATTGGGTAAGGTTACAGAGGGAAAACAGGGCCATACGTCGGATTGACCCCACATAGGGGAATAACTTTTGTAAAATTTAATGTGAAAGTTGTCTATTTTTTTTAACATATATTTTTTTTAACCTCAAGGACAAAAAGTATACACTTGGAACACACACAAAAACAGATGGGTCCATGCCAAGCTAAAGATTAATGCAGAAGGTAAGTTCAATTTTTCATTTCGTAACTCTTCTGGTTTTATCCAGATGGGACCTTAATTACATACAAGTTTAAGTCAGCTTCAGTATAATAGAAGGATATGGAGATAACGAACAGTATTCAATCTCAAATTCCATAAAACTATACAAAATAAGAGCAGAGCAAACACGGACCCCAGAAACATCAGAGGTGGGATCAGGTGCCATTATAAAACACCTATTTACTTACTTTTCGGAAAATAGCTTGTTTATCATCTCCCTTGACAGCAAACTATTTCCCTCGGCTGCATCTAGGGGAATAGTTGCTGTCTTGGGGGATGATAAACTAGCTATTGTCCTCATAGTCAGCAAATAGGTGTACCAGTACATGTATACTGTTTTTAGCTCTTCTGAGCCAAAGCCTTAAAGAGCTAATGCTATGGCCATATGTGCGGTGTGCATAAACTTTTTAGAATGTGGGCCATAACTCAAGATCCCCTTGGACAATCATTGTCAAATTTTTTACAGGGCATCCTTGGCCCAAGGGCTACCATTTATACTAAAACTAGGGCTTGGACCCTTATACAAAGGGAGATAATCAGGAAAATAAAATCAAAAGAACTTTATATTGACCTAGAATTGTTAAACTTTGTCAGTTGAGGCATCTATGGTTTTTGGAGAATGTCGACCAGAAAGTAGGTCACCATGACCTACTTATGGTATTTTATAGCTCTATTGAAATATCTTTAGTCCTATCTGGCTAAGAATCATCAAACTTTCTCGGCTGATGTATTTTGGGTCTTATAAACTTAGAGGCTTCAAATACTAGCTTCGCGGATTATAAAGCGTAAACTGGCCCAAACCAGGTTATCATCAAATAATTTGGCCAAGAATTATAGTCATTCCTTAAATATTTGACCTTGAACTTCTAGTTTAACCCACTGTTAAAAAAACTTTCTTTGATCTTAACTTTTGAGCTGATAGTAGTAGGGCTTTCATATTTCACAGATTTATTCTTTGTGACAAGTCCTTCCTTGGATAACAACAATTTTGACGTTTGACCTTGACTGACTTGCATTAACCATAAGCTGGCATATGGGGTATCAGTATAAGTACAAAAAACCACATCTTTTTTTGCGAGTTCACCCACAAATCAATGCTATTTAATGAATTTTAGATAAGAGAAAATTACAAGATAGATATTTGAGGACATAGTGAAAAAAAAATTTAATGAATTTTAGATTATAAGAGAATTACAAGGTAGATATTTGAGGATATAGTGAAAAAAAAAGTTTAAAAGATCATGGTTATGAATGCTAAAAAATTAATTATAGTTATTTAGTATTTACATATAAGTTCTACAGGGAATCAACCAGGATTAATATGTGAATAATAATAATGTTCAGGGAAAAATGGGTTTTCCCTTATTCCATGCATTTAATATTTTCTTTTTCTTTACAGATAAAAGAGAACTGGAGAAGAATGAATTGATGTTAACATACTCAACATTAAATATGGCTTAAATCTTAATTTGTCTTTTGTTGTGATTGCTTCAAGAGAATAAGGATCAGGAAATTTAAAGTGAAGGATAACCAGAAAGTGGATCATTCAACAGATGAAAAAGAAATAAGCCTTTGAGGGAAATTATGTCAAATGCCTGAATTGAATATTTAAATTGCATGTAATTTTTGTTTTACCAACGTTTACAATATGTGAAAAAAATGTTCAAAACGTGTTTAACCATGGTTTGACACATTTTTGTATGGTATTTAGACATTTACAATATGAGCAGTGCAAATAATAAACCCATTAAACATGTTATGAGAAACATATGTTACACACACGTTGCACATACGTTATTCATATGTGAAACGTATGAGTAACGTACGTGTACAATATATGTGTAACGTATGGTAGGCAATACGTATGTTTAACATACGTGACACGCATGATATTCACACGCGTGAAAACGTACGTATAACGTACGTGGTATCTTTTTCATGGAAAACGTACGTGAAGTCACGTACGTGTCACATATGTTTAACGTACGTGAAACGTACGTGGCACAATTAGCTGTGTACAGTGTATATGATATCTAATATAGAACCTCATTCTCTGGACAACAAGACTCTTAGTATATTATATGCATTACTTAACTCAAGGATTCAGACCTGGATATGATTTTCATTTTATGTTTACAGGAATTTTTTTCCCTAAATAAACTATATGGAGATAACAAACAGTTTTCAAGCTCAAAAGTCCATTTTAAAACAATATAATTCAGGACCAGTGTAAACACTAAACTCTTAAACATCATCGGCGGGATCAAGTTCCATGGAGGTGTGAAATCCCCTTAAATAATCTTAACATGTCTTAAAAGTGGAAAGAATCATTATTTCATTGATAAGAAAATGCATATTCAATGCGAGATGAAGTGGTTCTCATGCACCATGGAATGCAATTGGTAACCCAAAGGGGTATAAGGAATATAATAGTTTTGGAAGCAGGCTATCTATACTGTTCATATGCGCAATTTTCCTGCTACATTTGAAAACAAGATGCAAAGCATCTTTCAGTATATACCAGTTGACAAAGTAACTGAGTCTTCTTTCAAATGCTTAAATTTTATTTACGAAATGCATTATTAACAGAAATAGTTGCCTATTAGAAGACCATTAAGACCTGAAGTCAAGATGACTGTTTATTAACATCTATGGACTATTGATCTTGAATACTGTCCATTATCTCCATATGTTTCTGTTTACTCTATGAGTCTAAGATATAATTATAAGAAATCAACCTTCATATGAAGAATACAAATTGAGCAAACACGGATCTCAAAAAATTAGGTGTCATGGAGGAGTGAGCATCCTCTGTGGACCGTTCATACCCGCCGTGTGCTCCTTGTCATAATCATGCAAACAAAGAAAAATCTGACTACAAAAAGTGTTAAAATAATGGTTTCACAATTTATATGAAAAACATCTCTTAACATTCTACTAAAAGACAAATTGTATAATTATGCTAACAAGAGCATACAATTTGAGAAATGTTGACGGGTCTGTCATCTTCATTGTTATTGATTTGTGCTTAAGAAATCGAACACGGAGCATTTTCTTTTTATTTAATCAGCTGGTAGAGATAATTCAGTATGCTGTATATAGTGACATTTTGCTACAGAGAAAAGGATATCGAGGATAGAAATAATCTCATTACTTTATTACAAAGTTTTGTTGTTATGGTGTTAATGGTGAAGACACAACAAACAGTGATCAACCTCATAATAAAATATTTAAACATAAATTCCAGAGGTGGGATCAGGTGCCAAGGAGGAGTAAGCATCCCTATTGACTGGTAACATCCGCCGTGAGCACCATGTAGTGACCAGTTAGACGGAACTTTTCTTACTCAATTCAGTAAACAAAAGAAAGACCTAACAATGGTGTGAATCAAGTCAGACAAAATGCGACTCAATAGTAGGTTAATATTGCTTACTAGGTCATTACAACGACTATATACAAAATGCCGACTTGAAACAAGATTGTTGAAATCCCTGTAACATCAGCTTATTAGTCAGTAGCGTGCCTCGCTTTAAACATTGGTCCTATTCAGAGGAAGCTCTGGAGTAGCAAATAAGTTTAGAGACATTAACACCATAAGCTGATGATTCGAATGACTATAAAAATAACAGCAGTCAGTTGTAACAACATTTGAACAGTTGGGCTTTTATATTCAGTATGTCTATTTCTTATGACAAGTCGCCAGCGTGGAGCAGTGAATAGAGCTTCTGCTTTAGAGTCGCGAATTAAAGAGTTGATCCTTACGTCGCAGGTTCGAATACCACTCTGGGACATGGAGACCAGTCTTTCGGATAAGACCGTATAAATCGAGGTCCTATGTCGCAGTATAGGTTCTGGCACGAAAAAGATCCCTCTGCTGAATGGCCGTATGTGCCGAGTATAGGACCAAATTTGCAGCTCTCCACTAGCTTGCAAGTGATGGCGTGTCCATATGAGTGAAAAACTCGAGAGAGTTGCGTTAAACAGCATGCAATCAATCAATCAATCTTATGACAAGGTCTTCCCCTGTGTAATATTATTTGGACCCTTTGACTTTGACTTCGGAGTTTTAACCTATTTCAGAAAACATTTACCATAATTTCTTAATGGTTGGTGCTTTGACTTTTATACATGCTCTAGGTATAACTATTGAAATAATTCCTTATTTTGGGTAATAGCATTTGATTTTGATTTGCATTTGAAACTATTTTAAATCTTCTACATCAGTTCAACATTTTAAAAGAACTACGAACGATAGTATTGTTCTCCCGCCTACCTCCAAGTCAATTTTCAAAAGTTAATATATTTGAATGATTTTCCATATCTATATTCATATTTACATGAATTTCCATAAAACATTACTTATTTGGGAAAACAAAGACAGATAACTTTTAAATTTTGGTAAAACTTAACTGTATTTTTCACTATAGAAATCAACGGTAAACGGAAAATATTTTTAAAACATCCCCCCCCCCCCCGTGAAACAAAAGATCCTTTACACAGGTTATATAGACTGTTCACAAATTCTTACCAAAGCTTTTTGTGTTTCACGGGGGGGGGGGGGGAGACATATGTTTACTGAAAAAAATGACAAAAGTTTTAATTTTTCACCAATTTCAAAGGGTTAACAACTAAAACATATTATTATACCTCATTATAAATATTCTAAACAACGCGTTATCTGATTGGTTCTAAGTTGTCACGTGATCGGGCCGTAAAACTTCATATTTCCCGGCCGTCGGCACGCTTTTCATCATATTCCACCTCTTCGGAACACCTAGCGTATTTTCCCGCAATATAGTTCTCGTTCGTTGAACGAAAACTCCCGAGAGAAGTAGACGTCACAATAGCCTGGTTTACGTCACAAAACTGATGACAATGTGTTGAACAAAGGGTTTTATAGTAACTTTACGTAAAAAATGAAAGTGACTTTGAGAGCGGTGCCGAATTTGAAAGTTTATGTTTATTTCAAAGGTTTTGCTTGTTTCGGTATAAAAACAATTCATTGCATGAATGTTCGGGAAACATGAAGACTTATTCAGCCAAGAAATATCATATTCCCCTCGGGGAATATGATTTTTCTTGGCTGAATAAGTCTTCATATTTCCCTCACTATCATGCAATAAATGTATAGTATTTTATTAATGATATATGTTTAATTTTATATGCTTAAAACATAAGAAAAGAGGAAAGGAACATTTATTCACATTCAAAAATATTTAAAATACGGTGATGGTGTAAAGCCCGGTTTCAACGGAAAATATCGTCTACCCCCTCCTTTTTAAAGAGCTAGAATAAGGGATAATTAACTATTTTACACTGGTATTAAAATCATAAATCAATTATAATTGAACAGATCTTTTCATTCAACAAAGATTATATGGCCAAATTGTCATTAATATTGAATTAAATAGGTGTAAAATGTAGGCGGGAATCAAGAGTTAGCGTATACGTAGTTCTTCGAACAAGTAATAAAATCACAGACTCCGGTGAATTTAAAATATCAAAAATGCCCGATATTGACAATATAATGGTTTTCTTTTGTTGGGTTACTAGTACATATCAGATTCTATCAATTATCAACAAATGCATGCTTTTTATATCATTCATTAACTCCTTATTCCATTCAGCAGTAGTAGGAAAATAGCTCTTCAGAGCTAATGTTCTTTGTTTGATGTACCCGGCTTTAAATAAATATTATCTTATCTTATCTTATCTAAGGTAGATTTACTAGAAATTATAAGGACATGCTCTTATTTTTAAATATTCATAAATGGTGTGTTATGATATACTGTTTGCATGTTTTACAGCACATAACCTGGAAAAATATGTTAGTTATTGTCAAATGATCATTTAATGGAATCCCTAAGTCATTATTTTCTATGACGAAAGACATCATGTCTAGCTCGATTTGTTTAAAGAGGGCCATTAAAATGCAATGAAGAAAAATGAAAACTAAAAATCAGTTACATTTCGTTATTTCATTCCTCTAATGTAGTCGCCCTCGTGCATGGCGCAGTGGTTAGATTGTCTGCTCTAGAGTCGCGAAGTAAGAAGTTGATCAGAGATCGGTCGTTTGGATGAGACCATATAAACCGAAATCCCGTGTCGCAGTAGGTGCTGGCACGAAAACGATGCCTTACTCTGAGTGCCGAGTATAGGACAAAGTTTGAAGCTCTAAATCGGCAATTAAGCGGTGGCGTGTCCATGTGAGAGAAAAATTCTCGAGAAGGACGTTAAACAACAACAATCAATCATCAGTCAATCAATCATTCAGTGAAATATGTGAAGATAACGAACAATATTCGAGCTCAAAAGTCCAATAAACAATACAAAATAGCAGAGCAAACACCGACCTCCAACACATCAGGTTGGATCAGGTACCATAGAGGAGTGATAATCCTTTGCCGACCGGTCACAGTCACCGTGTGCCCCTTGTCATGTTTGGGGGAAAAACTGAAAAAAAATCTC